CTATTTCTCAAAATAAAACCTGCAATGTTCTGTATAACTTCTAACTCTTTTTTTTTTTTTCTAGAGATAATTGGATACAGAAAGTGTCCCTTCTGGGGTGGACCTCTCTATTATGGGGGGGGGTGGTAATTACAAGCCTTTCTGAGGGTGGGTAAAGACCAGAAGGACCCTTTTTATTCCTAGCATGGTATTTAATTTGTGATAGTTAGGGTGAAGGGATACATGGGTAGAATTTATGGATACAGCCCCACCCTGCATGAAACATATGTACGGTGTAGCCCTGTTTCCTTTCACCACATGATACAAGCCATAATATAACGTTCCCCTCTCACACATTCCTTCACAGCAGCCTAAGAAATGTTTTTTTTTATTTAAGGGCTATCAGTCATGGTTCTGCTGAGAATGTTTATCATTAGCACGGAGCAGGACTTTGTGCTCATTTTTACAAACGTCTTGCATTGAAAAGCTTCACTAAAGTGTTTTCTGGATTCCTTGATGGCTTTCACACTATTAGTTCCTGTCCCTGCCACACTGTATGCACATCCATTAACAAATCACCAAAGTCCTTTTATTTCCAATCTAACCAGAGAAACTCGGTCAACAAGCTTACCGTCACAGTTGACCTTTTCACTTCAGCTGCACTCCACAGCCAATTGGATTTCATCCTGGTGTAACTGTGTTAATGTACTGCAAACTGATTTCCAAGCATCAGCAGGGTTCGGCATTTAACTTCATTCTTGTCTGTAAAACATGGTGTATTAAAAGCAATGTTTGAGGGAAAGAAGGGACTAAAGGGGCATTTTAATTGTTATAAAAAAGGGGTGCCATTCAGTTTTTTGTAATCTAATGTCTACATGTATCCACAATTATAAAAACACCTCAAAGTAAAGGAAAGGCCTTTAAAAACAACACCAAACCAACATAAATGTATATTAATGCCTGATGAAAACCAGACAGAAAAGTGTCAGGTTGTGTCCTATCAGCTTTTACATGTTTAATAATTAACAGAAAGTACAGTACAGAGGGAAAAGGTTCACACAAACACTGATTTTAAAGGCCAGAATTAGTTGCTTATGTTTTGCTGTTTAAAGCTTCCTCTTACATTCAAACTAATATGCAAAGCTCAACCTAGTGCTGGAATAAAGAGCTGGCCATGTGATGTTGCCAAAGCTTGATCATACCTGCTGTAAATTTGCATAATGCTTGCACTGTATGTGATTGTTAAAAGAGGAAAATATTCAAAAATGGAGTCTTGCTGGATAGGATCCATTTCATCCCATACGTCGGCGCTTACACTAGTCATGATTCACCTGCATCCTCATTTCTTAAATGTTCTATTTAGTTTGTTTAGCAGGCTGTATTTGTTAGTTAAATCTTTAAACAGTAGACAACAAAGAGATTTGCCGCACATAACCTGGCATTTTTCAGATGCGGGAGTTTGTTGGTGTCAAGTTAGGTTGGTATTGGGGGTGCGCTGGTGGCGCAATGGTTAGGGCACGCGTCCCATGTGTTGAGATTCTCTTCTCGAGCGGTAAGCCCGGGTTCGCTTCCACCCGTGGCCCCTTTCCGCATGTCATTCCCCGCTCTCTCTCCCTGGTTTCCGACTCTATCCACTGTCCTATCTCTGCATTAAAGGTACGAAAAGCCCAAAAATAAATCTTTAAAAAAAAAAAAAAGTTAGGTTGGTACTCACATTGCCTCAAATATTTCCAACAGTTATCATAGCCAGAGAAAACCGTAATTTTATAGTTTTAACGGACCGTGTCTTCGCAGCAGCCGCCATGATGAGCCGCCATAACAGACACGAAATGTTAATCGTTGCCAAGTAAATACCAGATGTTACGTCAAAGACCACTGCATAAGGAAGCGTGAGCTGCTGCTGAAAGCTGCAGTACTGCAGTACTTGGAAACATCATCGGTAAACATATTGTCTTTTTCATGACGGGTTTGCCCGTTTGTATTGACTATGAGCAACACAGAGTTTTCACCTGGAGGGAGGGAGTAGCAGAGAGAACTCGCATGATTACCCGCTAGCCTCTACGTCATATTTTGTTATCGTTTTGATTTGACATACTGTGCGTTTAACGGCACAGCAAGTATAAGGACCAAGCGGCAACCTCCGGTGGTGAAAAATCCCTCCAATGTGAAAATGCAAAAAAAATAAATGCAGTGCCTTAAGTGTCCACTTAAGGCTGGCTGCAAAAGCCGAGGAATTCACATTAGATTCCATATCAAAAATGTACAGCGGGGAAAAATAAGTTAACAACCTTGTTCAAAAAGCAAATTTGGTATGAAAAGTTAATTTCATTATTGGTACTGGGGTTAATAACATACCGTTTTGGATGTTATTTAGCTGAATTCATGAATTTGCATAATTAGGTGCATGGCTGAGTTTCCTGACAGGTGGACACGTTCTAAGTGTTTGTCAGGAAGCTTAAGGCCTGCCTCAGCTCTACCTCTTTAGCTGTTTCTAGATAGACCAAAGGTTAGGTGAGGACAGCCTTTCCAATATGGCAAGCCTTATCTTCTGCCTTCTAAATGCTTCTTCTGAAGCCAATGGGTGACGTTCCCGAGTCAATGTCCATGTTTTATACGGTACATGGTAAAGACGATGCACAAACAGAGTCATGGCAAACTATATACAGGCAACATGAGATGTAATCACCCTGTCTTTTGGTGATGTCTGCTCACTTACTTTGTGTTTGAGGGCTGGCAGGTTAGTGTATGCTTAAAGTCCTATATTTTGTGTTCTGACAATCAGCCTAATCACTGTCCCAACAGATCACCTAACGGCTATGCCACTGCCTGTGAATAAAGTTACATCCACATTGCCCCATGCATTTCCTGTCAAATGTACCTGGTTCCCTCGAGGTCACCAAATCACCCATACTGGCTGTTTTTCACACGGATCATCCATCTGACCAGAACAGAAGCCTCCGTGAGAACAGGACCTGTCTGTTTTTCCAGCTGCTTAACATTCTTTTTAGAGGCAGCTACCCAGGACTGTACGGCTTCCACTGTTATCCACTAATGACTGCACCGGCGCGGTTCGCCACTGATGTCTGGAACAACAGTCCTGTAGAGATAAACAGTTTCTTGGATCAAACCGCTGTGCAGTCTCATATGTGGATGTTTCATATCCAAGCACAAAGATTCAAAGCTTTAGAAGGTTTTATTATATCAGCTTGCATAGCACGAGACCTGAAAGTGGTCTAGAATCTTACATTTGCAGACGACTACACATTGACAAATTGAAATGACAGCGAGCAGAGCAGCAGCTTTTTTGAATTGTAAAAAAAAAAAAAAAATCCCATTAAATGACCTTTACCTGCAATAACATACCCATGTTAAAAGATTTGTTGGTTTGGTTTTGTTTCGTGGTAAAGGGATAAAGTGAGGTTGTACAGCTGCCTTTCACAGCTGTTCATGAAACAATGGTTGAGTTTTCCTTATAGGTTTGATTTGTTACTTCCTTTTTAGCTGGGGAGTGTCTGATTCCAGACTTTTACTGTATAGGCGAGAAGTGCAAATCTGTAGTCTCAATTACAGCACATGTGATACTCCATTGTGTTAGTAACCGGCTGGATTGGAGGACACTGTGTTGAATAACTACAACAAAAGCACCATGTTGTGTTACTGTGACTGGCGTCAGAGCTGATGCTTGACTCACCTCGACAGCCCAGGAAGTTAATGACAGGCAGATGACTTGTTTTGTTAACACCTGCATGGAAACCTGCAGGGCCTGAATCAGGTAGATGTCTTCTGTTCTCCTATGAGAACATGTCTGATTTTCTCACAAAGGTTGACAAAGACGCAATTAGTTTGGATGCTGTAGCCTAGAATTACGTCAGCGTTTCAAGCCCCTACTGGTTCATACTTAAAAGTTATTCATCTTAGATATTATCAATATGACTTGGAGAAAGTTGACCGGGAAGTATGAGACTCTGTAAATGATACGAGTGGCTTGGAAATGTGTGTTATGGCTTAGATTGGTTTTGATTGTACAACCTTGTACTGTGTCTACTCCTTCTATTTTAACATTTGGTATTAGTGTAGTCCTCTCAACAGGAGATTTGAGTTCATGATATCTGACCAGTTAGAAAGTTGCCATGTTGAAGAAAAATATTGATCGATATTAGTAAAGGCTATGTTTCCTATTTGAAATGATTGCTAAACTGTGTAGAGATCAATGAAACCACATAGATTTAGGAATTAAGTTTCATGTCAAATCTTCAAAATATAAAGTCTAAAGTGATGCAAAAATAAACCACAGAGCAAGAGTTGTATTAGAGTCAAGACTTATTCAAATCAGTTATTTGGTAAATTCACCTGATCTGACACCAGTGAAATATATATATTGTTTACATAATTATAACAGTGAGCCTGCGTAGCATCCCCCCGACAAAAAAACAGATTCTGTTCACATTTTCCTTACTTTGGTGATAATTCAGTCCAAACACATCAGTATGTTGCAATGGAGGAATGTTTACTGTTGCTGGATGTTGCAAGTCAGTAATTAGCTGACATGCAGGAGTGATGCTTTTGCTGTAAATCATGTGGGAGTGTCTTGGATTGTTTAGATTAAAATCCTGTGAATATTTGTCAGAGTGCTAGGCTTCTGCATTGAATAAATGCAGTCTTTAACGTTGCATGTGCCGAATATGGTTGAAAGAGCTAAAGTAGGAGGAAAGTCAGTTGCTAAACTAGTCTAATTTCTTCACTATTTCAGTACTCTTGTGACACTTTCTCCACCACCCAACCTTTACACCACCCATGTTTTACACCTTAGCTTTGTTTCCATCCTGCAGCTCTCCAAACAAGCTCTTTCCAAACAAACCCCAAACAAGTTATCCAAACCCTGTGCAGGGGGGAGGGGGATGAGCTGGGCGGCGGCCATGGCTGGGCTGCATCCTATTAAGATGGGGAGTGTTGAAAAGGGGTGTGGCCTGGAGCCAGTAACATCTGTGCATGTCCCCTCTGCCCCCACAGCCTTCTGCAGAGAAAGGCAGAGAGAAGGAGGTTAGGGAGGGAGTGGATATGCAGAGGGGAAGTTCTCGCCTGCCAGCTGGCTGTTTGCAAGATCTCAGACGGCAGCTCGTGCTGTATGGCGAGTTTATCCTTCTTTTGCAGCAGTGCAACAAGAGAAAAAAACATAGGGAATTTCCTCTCGGCTGGCATTGACAGCCTCTGGGATTCTAGGTGCTTATAGACAACTGTGAACCTGCGTGGATTACATACCTTTTTTTACAGGATATGCTCCGCTGCGTGTGCTCAAGCATCGTTTTTTCTGTTGACAGTGCAGAAAGCAGGACACTGCAGTGAGTTGAGGATATAAAGGGAATGCTTGGAGGACCACAGAGACGATCTCACTCTTGGACAGGGTAAGACGAGCTCAATGAATTTTTCTGTTTTTCCCTGTGTTCAAATGAACACAGGGAAAAGGGAGTGCAGAAGCAGACTATCTGCTGGTTGGAATGTGTGTGTGTGTGTGTGGACTGCATGTGACCGGTAGATAATCAGGGGCTATCAGTGTCTCTCATTATGTGTGTGTGAGGGGAGCTGCTGGTGTATCACTCCCCACGATACAGACTGGATTCCTCACATAGAAACGAAGGTGACTATATCATGTCGGTCTAATTGGGAGGTGTCTGTGTGGAAAACCGTGTTACTGTAGTAACCGGGTGGGGGGAGGGGAGGATGACAGGATGATCCGATCATGCCCCTGGGCTGATTTGGTGGTGAGAGAGTTGTCCTGTGTATACGGGGAATGCCCCATAATGACAAGGCTGCTCTGTAGATAGGGTGAGGTGGTGGTAGAAATATGTGCAGACAGGCTACAGGCTGATACCTCCCACCGGCTTCGCTCTGTGGTTTGGCAAACGCAGCCCCGTTATCAGTGTCAAGTGAGCATGAGAGACAGAGGATGGCATACTTTTTACCATAAGGGGGGTTGGAGGGTAGATAATCAAGTCCACGAAAAGGAAAGTCACCTTGAGCAGCGAGGTGTCATGTCATTTCCTGTGGCTGCCCATCCTTCTCAGGATCCACTTTCATTTCCTCAGCTTCTCTGGAGAGGCTATGTATACACCACATCCCTTGTAAATACCATACATGCAAATGTATAAGCTAGCCTCTGTAACTTTACAGGATTTCATGGTGCCTCCGACTGATGGCGAGCAAGATTTTACCCGGTAATCCCTGTAATGGTTTTGTCATTTCCTTTTGTCCACTGAATTAGAGAGACAATCCTATTTTCTCCCCTATAAACATCCAGAGCAGATTAAAAAGGAGGGTAATGTGCAGTGGAAAGGGGCTTACATTAAATCACCTACCCACCCACCACCCGGCTTGCACCCGACACCCACACCACCCGGCTTGCACCCGACACCCACAGCTCTGGTTACCATAGCAACTGAGGAATATAAAGACTGTTGTTTTAAGTCCACAGCTTATATTTCTGTGCTCTTTTTTTTTTTTCCCGGTTTGGCTAATTTACAATGTTGCTGATCTTCAGTAGTTGAATGTTTGATGTTGATAGGACTGACCCTAGATAACACCAATTTGATGTGAGTCTCTTTTTATTTTCCTTCCTGCTTATAGTAAACGGCTTATTGATTGTCTATTTAAGGGTCTCCAACTACCCTTATCAACTCTATCAAATGAGAGGAAGTGACCACATTTTGTGTATCAAGCAAATGATTACAATGTATCGATGACTTGCAGCTATTGCAACTATTAAAACTATTTAGCCATGACTGTTAGCTTACTTATTAAACCATTGACTCAATACCTTAAGCCAACTATTTAAACTATTTATCCGTGACTTTTAGCTTTCTATTTCCACACATTATCCATAATCTTAGCTACCTATGTGAGCCATTTGTCCATACAAACAGTTGACTGTAGTTTCTACTTATGTGGAAAAAAGTGTCAATGTGTAGCATGTCATTTTAGCTTGCTTATGTATTTCAACTTTAGCATAGCATTATTACCCCATCTGCTCACTGTATGATTCTCTTTGCTTCTCTAGCTGTTACAGTATTTAAAATAAAAATCATTCATATCGTAGAAAAGCCAGACTTAGTCTATACGCCAAACTAAAACGTGCATTACAGATTTAGTTTTAAAAGTTAAGCTGCTGTTGTGAAATAGTCCAATTGTTTGCATTTATGCTACGATATCAACATTGTCCTTTTTTGGTTCACATTTTTCTCACTAATGTAAGTATGATAAGAGCTGCTAATGTGTCATGTGCTATTTTTGAACCCAAGCTCTTTTTCACTGATTTGGAACGGAGCCAACAATGAAAAAATCTGGGGGGAAAAAACCCGACCTGGATACTGTTGCATGTTTGGGTTGTTTCGCTCTTTGCCCTGAGTCTAACCTCCACTTGAAGGGTTGACCCGGGAAAGAATGCAAACATGTTAGGAGTGGGGGGATGCAGAGTGTCTGCAGAACGAGTTTGACAACCTTGCCTTCAGGAAGAGCAGCAGTTTTTAACCTGCTTTTTAATCTCTGTCCTCCCTACATTTCAGCTGCGCACTCCTCAATCCTAAATGCACTTTTTTTTTTTTTTTTTTTGCGCTATTATTCACTCATGTTAGTGAATACCAATGAAATACCCTTTAATAATTTGAACAGTTTAGTGTGTTTGTGTGTGAATGCATTGAATACATTCATTCTTGAAGAGTTGTTTTGTTATCTAATCCATCACCACAGGTTGAGAGATGACTATGAAACATTTTAAGCATCCACTATCTCTTTGATTTAGACGTATAGTGTCTCTTCCTGTGCAAAAGATGTTACTGTAATACACAAGTGTTTAAGTAAACAAACCTACGGTACTGTAGGTCCAACCAGTCAAAGGGACAATTGTGGCATCTCCATAGGGGAAGAAAACTGAAGCGTACCATGAATAAGATTGAGCCAATTGAATCTTCTATGAACTGACAATCATCTCCTGATCAGCACTATACTGTGGCCTTGACAGGAAGGATAAACACAGTGTGTTACTCGTGTCAAAGCCTTTATCTTCTGTCCATGTTTAGTGATCATTTACGATTAATGAAAACATTGCTGGCAGGTTCAAGACCAGTCTCTCTATCTCTAATCTGATTCACTGCAGATTCACTGTGTCTGTATCTGGAGGAAACCAGTGAAGAACACAAGCTTGTGTAACAAGGCAGGATGTGGAAAATAATTAGATTACCTGTCTGTATCACTGATAATAGAATCCTTGCTTTCAGCAAGAGATGTTACTGCAGTGCCTGTGTGTGGGAACAGGATAGTCTTCAAGTTTATTTTTAGCTTCATGTGATAAGTTGACATATCATAACACTGGAAACAGGCTTGTTTTTGAAATAGAACAACAGGATATTTGGTATTCTTCAAATTTCTCTGTTTGCTGTTTTAATGTAAAGGCTTATTTCTTCTTTTTGAAGCATGTATTAGTGCTTTTTTATTTTTAGGTTGTTGCATTGAGCAGCATTAATGGTATTTGGTTAGCAAAGTTGCTTTGTTGCAAATGTAAACATCAGTGCCACACAGTTATGCCATCTTTATAAACTGGGGGGGGAAAAAAACTACCAAACCAAAAGAATCACATTACACTTTCACATGACACAAAGTTTTGCTCAACTGTCTGACCTCACAATTACTTTATCACACATCCACTCCCTCTTCTAGAGTCCATAAAGATGTGAATGTAAGCAGGCATGAGACTGTTGAAGAAATGTGTCCTTTGTCTGCCTCTGTGCTGTTTTCTCTTTCTCTTTGAGCTCTCTGTGTCCTTCTATGTAAATGCTGTAATATGAGAGCCACGTGACATTGATGCTCCTGAGGCAATGCTTTTGTCACATCTTGACAAACAGGCTTGTAAAATACATTTCACATAATCACATGGGCATTTAAGTTGAACAGCTCTGCTACTGTACCTGCTGCTTCCATAGTGAGGACTGTTTTGACGGCTCTCTGCTGTCTGACTGCAAGTGATTGATTTTAATCTCCTCTTACCCAGCCAGTCAGCATTTCTGTCATGGCCCACTTTTTTTTCTGATGTGTGTCCAAGTCTAAATGTGTTTCACAAGAAAATTAATTGCCAAAGCCTTCTATTTTCCAGAGACTCCTCACTAAATCAGTTGTTGTATCAGTTCATGTTCTCCAGCAGTGTTGAGAAAAAGAGATTGCTTTGTTACTATTGAGCTTTTTGCGGTTTTGTCAAAACAGTTTTAAGTTTCACAGATTTAGCAACCTCTCCGTGTCCAAACACTGATTGATTTTCATCTGGCCAGCTCTGAGCTCAGGCTGTGTGTTTTGATGAAAGGACTACCACCAGCCTTCACTGTGTGACTCCTGAGCCTTTTGTTTGCAGCTGTCCAAATTGATCCAAAATAAATTACAAAGTGTGGTGCCCAACAAAGATGGGGGGAGGGGGGGGGGTTTCCAAAGTCAAAAACCTCTGAAATGAAGCAAAATGTAATCCTAAAACCACAAACTGGGTCCCCTGTGGATTTAATACAAGTCCACCTATAGCAAATATAGATTTATATCAGTGAGAAGGACATTTCATTGCAGTGGAATAGAACTAAGCAGTATCTTCAATGATGATGAGTTGCTTTGCGTTGAAAATACTGCAGTCTGATCCACCCCAAATCCTAAATCAGAAAAGAAGATTAAACTTGTGTGCACCAAATGTCTCTGTGGTCTGCCTGAAACACATCTGGAGCTAAACTCTGTGCAACACAAGCAGCCGGTTAACAACAGTCAAATATTTTTTATTTGTAGTCTCAATTTCAAAAATACTGAAACAGCACATAGAATAAGGTCTGTGGCTGTGGATTTGTCAGGTTGGTAAAATGATTAATAAATGTGTGCTGTTTCTGGATTGAGGAGGCTATTATCTAATGATGATTATAACAGTTGTTGGCACTTTATTCATCCCATTTGCTGTGACAAATTTCATTTTAATTTCTTCACTCAGCAATAAGGTCAGGGCCAGAAATGTCCCTGGAGCAGGGAGAAAGCCTGTGTCTTCCTCAAGGACATCTGAAAAAGGTAGACTACTTCTAATTATAGTTCTTGAGCCCCCAGGGGGAACATATTTCAGGTCTTTTGAAACAATCTGAGGTGAGGCAACGCTGCTGCCCAATAGGAGGTTCTTGCATGGGTTTTCATTACTGCTCTAATATTCACAAAAACCTCATGTAAGGTTTCTGTGAAGCTAATCTACTCATTTCAAATACTTCTGCACTGTAACTCATTGATTTGATCACAAAACAAGGCTGTTGTGACTGATGATCACGGAAGCCATGGCAACTGTAGGTTGATATGAAAAATTAAAAGATCACCTCAGTGCTAGAGGTAGCTGAGAGATGCCAGCTGGTGCCGAAGAAGGTATTTCACACATCTGTTTTCAATACACTACTGTCCACTGTGTTCTTCCTCTAAGGTTGCATTCCTCCTTCAAGTGAGGCAGGTTTGAGCTGAAAAACATCAGCTGTAAGTTGACAGGGGTGACACCGTTGGGTTGTCTTTAGTCCAAGGACATTATTAAACGATTTGAACTCTACAGTTTTGCATCAGCATGTTCATGACACTCCAATCCTGATGTTAGCTTGAACAGCGGACAAGGCTAAAAGTCGTGAGTCAAGTTGGCAGAGAGGAAATCAGAGAAAAGGAAAGGACTAGGCCTTGGCAAAGCACAAGTAAGACAGCTGGAAGAAAAGTCTCAGCTCATCCTTGAATTCGTCCTCTCTGTTCTTCATTCCCCTCCGCACATGTTCAGTAACGTGAGCGTATCTCTTTGTTTAACTTAAGATGCTTCTGTCTTTCCTCCAGCTGACCTGACACTTTCTTCAGGTTTAACGGAGAGAACCTCTCAGGCAGGAACCATGCACAAGCTCACCCTCACTTTGCAAACACAAGGATTGTTTTTTTTTTTTTTTTTACAGTCTGGACTGACGCCAGGTCATCTGACAAACCACATGGTCCCGAAAACAAAAAGGCTATCCATGGATAGAAATCTCTCATAGACAAAGAGATGAGTGTTTGTGCGAAAATGTGTAGGCGGGTTTAATTATTGGATGTGTATAAATGACCGAGTACAAAAGAATCTGCCTCGTACTATAATCAGCAGCCTACTCAAGTTATGATGTTTTTCTAGTGAAGTACAAGAGTTGATTTACATCAATACCAATGGAACTGTTACACACAGTATAAACATCCACCTCTCGACTGTTAACACTGCGGTTCAGTGTAGTTGTACATGTCTGATTTTGGATTTGCAGTAGTCTTTGATCTTCCTCAGTTAAAGCAGGTGACACAAGTTATGATGTTTTTCTAGTGAAGTACAAGAGTTGATTTACATCAATACCAATGGAACTGTTACACACAGTATAAACATCCACCTCTCGACTGTTAACACTGCGGTTCAGTGTAGTTGTACATGTCTGATTTTGGATTTGCAGTAGTCTTTGATCTTCCTCAGTTAAAGCAGGTGACAGAGTAATGTGTTATGGGTGTTGCTTAGGGTCACAGCGCTCACCTGGCTACGAGAGGAATGTCCTCTTGTTCCAACAAGCCTTTGTAATGTTGGGAACCTTGACCGTCTGACAGAAAACGTCCTGCGGCGAATGTCAGAGCACTCAGGTCTTGCAGGTCAATTATACAGAGTCTGAGCTGTGACACGGTCTGGATGTTCAAACCTTAGATGCCCCTTTTTTTGCCTTTTGTCTCATCTCTGTGTACCACCCTCCACCCCCTCCCAGCATGCATGAGTCATGGCACATCAACAGGTTTCTGGCTGGATGAAGACCAACGCTATCCCAATACGGCTCACAAGTTTATACAAAGTTTACAGCTAATGGAAAAGAAGGGACGTTTTGTGGACTATTATGGTCAAAGGGGTTTGAATTGCTTCTTCCCTTCATGCTAGAATAGATGGCGAGGGTGAGGTACAGCAGCTGCTGCAGAGGCTTCTGGTAGTCTGTTTGGAAAAGTCAAGGATGTGTGTATATAAACTGGTATTAATTATAACTTGTATTTTAGTACTGGTATATACTGGTATATTATTGCTGTAAAGTTTTGGTATGTTCCTTACCAAGCATATTAAGCAGACAGATTTATAGTATAGTATTTGGGGGAAAATCAGGGCTGAAATATATTTAAATAATATGGCAGATTGGTGGTTTCTCTTCTTTGTTCGATTATATAGGTACTTCACAAACTTGACGTTTTTGATTCAAAGACAAAGGGATGTAGAAAATGTCATAACTCTTTCTTTTGAAAGAGATTACTGTTCATATCGTTATAGGAACAAATAGAGACCCTCAGCCTTAAACTACTGTGACGTTTTTGACCTGTCTGGGTTGAATTATTGTGCATCACACTTTATTGGGTGAATTCTTTCTGGCTGAAGCCTCTGACTTAAAAGGGAATTACCAGAAAAGGTCACAAGGTTTTGGTTCTGTAAAGCGAGCTGCAGGTCACCAAGAACAGACGTTCAGACATTCCTGCAGGTCAGTGCAGCCTCTGTGGTTATGATACTTGGCCTCACAGTGTCAAGCACAGCAGGGAGGGAGACTGTTTTTCTGACATGCTGAAAACTGTATCCTTACAGATATCTGGACACAGCCATCTTTCCTAGACAGTCTCGTGCAATTAATGTCATTTTTACTGCTTTGAGTCCAGCCAGCTGGTCCAAGAGGGACTCACTACGTTCTTCACTCAGTTTGTTGTACGAATCAGAAGTTTGTAACAAATCAACCATTTTTTTTGGTTTTCTTTCTTCAAATTCAAGGTTTAACCTTAATGGCCAGGTTTTAAAAATGTAGCAACTCAGTAATCTGTCATTCTGAAGATAACTAGAAAAGTTAATTCTCATGGTACAATTCTATCTCATCACAGGTCCAAATACTTTTTAGCCAGAATACAAAAGGGCTGCATCAATAATCAAGTGGGGGCACCGGTGGCCGGGTGGGTGGTCGGTTGACCTGTGGCTTCTTTCCCGCATGTCTTTCCCCACTCTCTCTCTCTCTCTCTCTCTCTCTCTCTCTCTCTCTCTCTCTCTCTCTCTCTGGATATCTCACTCTGTCCGCTGTCCTGCCCCTCTAATGGAGGCACGGAAAGCCCAAAAATAAATATGAAATGAATAAATAAATGAAACACGGGCCAGTGTTGTCAAATTTCTTGGCCATCCATCCAGTTTTAAGATATTTCACTCCAAACTACATACACTATATCAAACTGATGATGGCACCTGACAAAGTGAGAGGGAAACGTTATTATTGCATCATTCGGGGGAAACATTTGAACTACTGCTCTAAAGCATGTTGAAATCTATTTTAAAGATTGTTTTGGGACTCACTGGAGCTGCACCTGGCAGGAGAAGAAGACTCTCTGTAATGTGCTCAACCCTCTTCTTCAACGCTGTTCATTTTTGACAGCTGATCTTCATGTATTTTTATCTGTGATAAAGAGGCAGGGCAGATGAGGCAACAGTGCAGCACACATAGCTTACATTGCTGGTAAAACTGCAGCTGCTAGGGATCGAAACAACTGTATAATCATGTCTGCTTAGTCAGAGAGTCTGGGAGAGAGAGAGTTCAGTGATTATTTTCAAGATGATCGTAGCAGTGTGTGATCGAGGTTGACGTAGACTCCCTGTAAATCTCACCTGTCATTTGAACGACACACACACCTCATGATGACTTTACAAGAAGGCCTGTTTCTGCTCTTTACACACAGGTCTTCAAACCAACAAATACCACACACCTCTAACAGAGGTCATTGTAAACACACCCCTCTAATCACTGCTCGTAGAGTCTTTAGTGTTAAAGCCTGATGTTGAAAAGGAAGGAGGGGAGATAAAAGAGACCTGAATACACTAATCTTGGCTAAGTGTGGTCTCCATTTCAGATTTCACACGCTCACTGGGCCTTGTTGTGTGAACACTGTAATTGATTCTTTCATTGACTAACCTCACTGACATGCTGTTATGTACTTTCCTTAAATGATGACACAATTTCATTACTGTAACCACGGGAACAGGGTTAGGTCTTAAATGTGGAAAACACAAAGACTTCATAGGATTGGGGGCTGCTAATGCGTTCCCGCCATAATAACATGACCGAGCCAGTTTCAAGTGTTTCTAATGGACCTTGTTGTTTTCTGTTTTTAATCTATCTCAGGGAAAATCAAGTGTCTGCCATTGATTTTGGGCAGTGGATAAGACTCCCCTTCCTCACTGTGAGTCGAGATCTGGTTTTGTGTTGAAAACTCATCAAGTCTCTTCTTCATCTCCACAGTAATCTCTGACGGAGGCCAAACTCTGAGGTGGAGGAGGCTGTAAAGAGGCCCTGAAGGAGCCTCCCACCCTCCCTACCTGACCAGCTGGACGCATTGGACAGCCATGGCTCCTCGGAAACGTGGCGGTGGCAACCGGGGTGGAGGCCTCTCCTTCATCTTCTGCTGTTTTAACAGCAATGATCACCCGGAGATCACCTACAGGCTGCGTGAGGACTTTGCCCTGCAGGCCATGGAGCCATCACTGCCGATGCCAGGGTACGATGAGCTGGACGACATGTTCTCTGAGTTGGTGGTAAGACATTAGCTTTCTTTTTCTTCTTGAGGGGAATTAGAAGTTTTAACGCTTCAGAAGACACCTTTAATTACTGTTACAGAAAATAGCTGTAATAATGATGCGAAATATCAGTTCAGATGTTTTTTTTAATGCCACGACAAAGCCTTCAATTCCAGAATTTACTTTTAATGTATGCCTGATATTCCTCTGTGCCCTAAAATGCCCTGTTGCCTTAAAAAACGACTGAACACAAACCACTGCAATGGAAGATTTTGTTTTAATTTAGAGCTTGGGCACTTTTTTAATTTTTGAGTTAAACCAACATTTTCACCATGTTGCTTATTCAAATAACTTATACTGCACCAAATAGGTATATATAATAGTCCCCTGAGTTTATGTCTGAGGGCCATGGACAATCTGGAAACTCCATAAAGCATTTAGAGATGAACTTCCCCTGTTTTGGAGCTCCAGTCTTTGTTGGGCCTCGAACAACAAAAATGAAGCCTTATCTTTAATGAAACCCTTGTTTAACCATTTCTCTGTTATTCTGTCATCCAATTTAGCAAATGATATCTATTTAAGAGGATCCACATTATCATAATCACAACCGTTTCTTCTAGTTGTGACATGTTTCATTTTTGTACGATAATCCATCATTGAAAACCCCAGGATATCTAAAAGCATTTAACTCAGACACTGTCCTTAAAGTGTTAACATTTTCTATCCTCATTCATACTTTTAAAAACATTCACAAACAAGCCATCACTTCCTCCCACTTTACACTATGCTTTGTGTAACAGGGCCACACTGTCGTTCTTTTCTCTGTCTTATTGTCACTTCTAATTTGTCGTGCCCTCCTCCCTCTCCTGCCCCATTTTCCTGTCCCGCGGTTGCCACAGTAATCTAAGCATGACATTTTTGCACATCAATAGAACTCATTCAAGGACTCTCAGTGTTTTTCGGCCCTGCTCCATCTGCTAATTGCTTGTTTTTGTCTATCACCCTTTATGAAGACATAATTGAGTAAGTTGAGTGTGACTACAAGGAGGCTTTTCAGTTGCTCTGTTTACCGCAAGAAAAACAGCCACGTGCTTTTTCTTTTCTCCCGATTGGAGCCACCATGTGCGTGTAAAATTGGAACGAGCCTTGCTGGGAAAAAAAAAAAAAAAAAGTTGTGGAAATAGTTTGGGCCACCTGCTCTGTTACGATCAATTACACCCGACCTTTGACCTGGAGATTCATTTTAAAAGTTTCCAAAACCTGTAAGTGGAGTTAAAGCTTCTTTTCCCATCGTACATTCAGAGAGACAAAGCATCTTTTACTCACTGGTAACAGAGCATTAAGAAAAGATCTGTTACCGAGCATGCTGGTACTCTTTACGATCTAAAGGATCAATAAAAAAAATACAACCAATTTAGCTTCTTTTTCCAGTTCGGTTGCTCACTAGCAAGCATGGGGACCTAATTAATGACATCAATCAATAATCCACACAACCATTTCAAGACATTTGAGCATGGCACATATTGATCCAGAGTGTTTGGTGACTAAAGCAAAAACAAACATCCCAGAAGACAGTATGTATGATGAGTTGCTGCTCTTCAAATGTCGCCTCCACTCAGTTTGTTAAATCACATGAACTTAATCTCCATTTCTTACTAAAATAGCTCCTTAGAATGAATCAACCTTTTGTTTGTGCGGCTGTATTGTCACCATGACTAAATTGCTTAAAGGCCTTCACATGACTTTGACTATTTTTCTCACATGAAGCTCATTAGACATCAAAGAGGGGATTATCCCAACAAATACACTGTTAATTTTGTGCCCAACCGTCTGAACTGCTGTGATGTAAAAAGCTGATATCCTAATTAACTTTAATTTTCGTCCTCTGACATATTGAAGCTAAAATGAAAACACCCGGAGAGGGCTGAAAGTCTTTCTGGTATTTAGACACACACTTCCCAGCAGCACCCTTTGTGTGCCTCTGTGAAATATATCAGTGATATATTGGGGCGCATGTTGTCTCCAGATGTTTGTTACCACATGTTAGGCAGACAGGCCACGCCTTATCTTCTTCCCTCCATTACTCACACGTCTAAAGTCTGTGAGATTTGTGATCTCATTCAGAGTCCTATTGAATTTCAGACAAAAGCATCCGGTGATGTCCCACTGATATGAAGAGATTTAGCACAAACAGATCTTGAATGGAGAGCAGAGCTGTGATGCAACTTCCCAGTGCACATGATGTTTTTGTTTTGGGGGGAAAAACAGTATTGACGACACTGATGGTTTGATAGCTTGTGCAGCTTGTTAGAGAGCTGCTCTTCTCCATTCGGTCATATATACAGGACTGTGAAGAACGTAGAATTCCTTCTTACCACCGTTTCCTCACATTTTGTTCAATTTTTTTTCCTATCTCTGCAGGATGAGCTCGACCTTACAGAGAAGCACAGGGAGGCCATGTTCGCTCTGCCCGCAGAAAAGAAATGGCAGATCTACTGCAGCAAAAAGAAGGTATAAGACTCTAGCTGTGCTTGTTGTCAAACTCTTCATCATCCCCCACACGCTTGCTGCCTACAGGACTGGCTGCTCTTGAATAATATCTGCAGATATCCAAGCTGCCAAGTTTGTGTAACCTCTCCTCACCTGAAGCTGTGCACTTTCAAACACGGAGACCTCAGAGCCCTGCCTTTATGTATCTCTGCTCACAACAGGCTCTAGCATGATTGTGTTTTCCAAGTAATGGATCAGAGGAATGCAGGTGTTTTTTTTTCCATTTGGGACATCAGGTGTGTCAACTTCGCATTAAATGGAGAACATACTAATTAAAATGAAGGACATAATATGTCTTGCATAATGCCTGCAGCATGCAATCTCAACATTTTTCCCAGGGTTTCAACAAAGTATTGCGAGTCTAGGAAGGGGAGGAATAGACCTTAATTTGCACTGTTTCCATAAAAAGGTGGGGGTTTTTTTACACTATTGGGTGTTTGATGTAGATAGTCAATGATTTATGATGAATTCTTTTCAATATTTGAAATGGAAGGATCCAGTTGTCATAATTGTTTGTAAAACCAAACACAGACTTGAGATGGATCGATTTGGATGTAATGTATAAAGGCTTCAAGGTTGTGGATTATTTATCTTAAGGTTTATTGAAACCGCTTTTATAGTGCTTTCATTGAACTCCGTAAAAACTGTACAAACCCTGTGTGCCTCAAAGGATTAGTGAAGTTTTTTTTATTGTTAAGTTGTGTTATAAATTTGCGGTCATTAGATGGGATACAGTAAAAGGCTGATTGAAAAGGAGACAGGTAGAGATAAGGGGTAAAGATGATGACTCAAAAACTAACATCAGTATCACATTGTCAGCATTTTAAACCCTATTTTCCATCAGCATATCCCAGTGAAGGAAACGATGTGCACTCTCCTTTTTGTTAAGCCATTATTTATTTTCTTGACCAGGTTCTGTAAATTTTCTTACAGCTGATTCCTTCCTCCATGTTTTTCCGCCTGATTCCTTATTCATAACGGTGCTTTCAAGAGCATGTTTTAAAATGCTCAGACCTCTGCACCGGACCTCCCACACCTAATGGTATTATTAATATCAGCAACATTTTGGCAAAAGAGACTCTTTCAATGCTCTTGCCTGAATAGATCAGAGGAACATTGTAGAAACAAACTTTAACTTCACACCCAGCCTGTGTAACTGCGAAACCATCTGCATTCATTAGTATATACAGAACAGTATATAATGTGAGCTGTGGCATTGTTCTGTTAAACATAATATACATATATCACCTAATCATTTCAAACAAAGCACTAGCACCACAAGAAGTTCTTTCATGTGTCTGTGCAGTCACTTTCCTTATAATGACACAATCATTCTGTACAGCCTGTTCAACGACCAATGAGGATCATTCATTTACGCGAATGTTACATAATGTGGATGTTAAATAGTGGTGAAGAGGGAGAATAACAAAGCTAAATCCAGCCTAAGCATACGATCAGTGAGTGTTAGGAATTATGATGTAATAAAATAATGTAGTAACATGTTTCATTGGACTGGGAAGAGTGTAAGGTCCACACTCTTCCCAGTCCAATGAAACATGTTACTACATTATTTTATTACATCATAATTAACGGTTGTTTACCGTTTGAACCCCTTGATTAAAAAAACGTTTAAATAATTTAGTTTCTGCTTTTAAGGTTTTAAAACACCTTTCCCATCAAGGCTTTTGTGTAGCCACAACATACTCCACCACTCTGTGACAGTGTCATATTTCATTATGCCTTCTCTCTTTGATAAAAGTGCTGTCAGCCATTCCTTCTTTCCCTCCTCTGCATGCAGGAAAGCTCAGACGCCTGCACTAGCTTAGATCATATATAGTTGAGCTTTGCTGCGACATATTCATTTTTGTGCAGGATATCCTCTCCTGAATTATCTACTGGCAGACCGTACAAGTTTATTCATGTTTTCCTAAATCCGGTTACAAACTTGAGCTCGGAAGTGTGTCGGTCCATTGTGATGAATGGGCCAGTTTGCCAGTCACCAAAGGGTCAGCAACATGGCTGCAGACAGGCGAGTGTGTAAGGGATTTTGCTAAACATTTATTTATTGTTTGACCTTTGTTTATTTAGAAAGGAAAAAAAGATCTACGAGATTAAAAATCTCTTTTTCAAGAGTGTCCTGACCAAGACAGGCAGCAACACAGTTAACAAAGTTTCAGACAAACAACTAGCAGCCATATTTACAAACAAAATGTATCAAAATACATGAAATAACAAGTGCCTAAAAGTCATTTGGCATTAGCTTAAAAACATCCAATGAGAGCAGCTCGTTAAGTTCCAGCTAACTGGGATAGCTTTAAGTGAAAGCTTATGAACTCTAATGTGCTTAACTATTCCTTTTAAAGATTTGTATGTTGGTCAATAACGTGTATTTAGGGCAAATGCAGAAATAATGCATTTGTATTATGAGTTAATAAATACGATAAGAGGCTTTTAAAGCTAGACCCGAGACACAAATAACTTTTCCTTGTTGGTCAAGAACTGACTTTGAGTAAGTGTTGACACCCTTATGGCATGTGAGTGACGGAGAGTGAACAGTAAAAAATAAAGCATCACTCTGCATGTGCTCTTTTCTAACGTGTCCTGACTAATGCCCTCATTGGGAGAAACCTCACAAGGCCTCTGCCTCTGTTTAGCTTCCTTGGGTTATTTCTGATTCCGTTTGAGGATGGAGGAGATTTTTGATACATCCAGATCTTTATGCTGCAACGACCTGCAGAGGGGGGTGAAAAGGAGAGACAGAAAGACATCAATATTGCTGACTCGGCAGCAGGCTCTGGCCCCAACCCAGACAGATACTGCCTCAGGATCTGAGCTCAGAAGGGAAGTGTGTGTGTGTGTGTGTGTGTGTGCATGCATATGTGTATGGACGTGCGTGTGTGTGTTTGCATGCGTGCTTGTGTGTGTGTGTGCGTGTGGAAAAGAGGCAAAGGAAGCGGTTGGTTGTCCAAGGAAAACAGGAAGGCTTCACTTCACAGGTGCAGCTTTTGTGTGTGAGCTGGATGAGGGCTGATAAGAAGGAATGTAGGGTTATTATTATTATTATCAGTGTGTCCAGAAAGAAAATACAATAATATTATACCATGAAATTAAAATCCTACTTCAACCAATAATATTATTTAATGATAAAATAACTAATGATAAATAAAAAGACAGCAACCTTTCACTTGTTAAAGAGGCAAATGCTTCAAATCTCTTACATTTTGCCTGCAGGCAGTCAGACATGAGCTTGCATGATGAGTACTACTGATGTGGTTGGGTGCTCTCACAGACAAGATTGTGTTGTGGGTTTGTTTAAATGACAGATTCTTTTTTTCTGATTTATAATCAACTATTGTAAATTTGTTGATATGAATGTCCACACCCGTTGTTATCATACATCTGGCAACGCAGGTCATTTTTAGGCCACACTGAGCCCTCGTCATGCCGAGCCAGGAGGAGATAAGTTAGTCAAAGCAGCAAAGCTGGAGCTGTTTGGTTTGGCCAGTCACCTGCTCTGATGAAATCATGCTGCACAGAATCAATCTTCTTCCTCCTTCTGGTCAGCCCTCATCTGGCTGCAACATCTGCCAAAAAAAGAAGATTTACAGAGCTGGTTGTTAGCAGAGATTTTGCTGTTAGGTTTCAGATTTTACCCTGAATAAATCCTTTAATTTGTGAGCAGACAGAGCTATATCTTAACTTCTCTTTATAGTCTTTTTACCCCTGAATCAAGAGATTCATTCCTGTTTCCAAAAAAGTGTCTTTGATCTTGACTTTGTCAAATGTGGGAAAAAAGGAACTCCCAGAAATACACCCATGAATTTCCTCTGTGATCACGACCCTAAATAAACTAAAGACATCTCTGTGTTTGAAGAGTGCTGACTCTTCAGTTGAAAAATGAACTCTTTAAGATGCTAAAGGAAGTGGTCCCACCTCTGCTCCACTAATGGACTGAACCTTTTCCAGCACCCGCCCGGCCAACCTGGCACCGGCCTTGAGTGGAACAGCGGGATCAGACCGATCTGTCACTGCACGATCCCCGCAGAACAGCCAAGAACTGCAGTTTCTGCCCGAGTAGCCAAGGCCCTGCAGGCCGCCTTATTACATGACGCCCAATTAGTTTCTGATGGTCACAGCTCGCTTAGACTTGATGGAGCGGGGGTTAAAATGAAAGCCGGGGGAACTTAAATGTACAAGCCAAGTTTATGGTCAAGTCATTTTCTCCTCTGTGCCTTCCCTTGAGTTAGAAAATGAAATGTCTCCCAGTTACTTTATCTGTACTCGTAATACAAACGTTCCTGTCCAGAGATTAATCTCAGCATAAACTAGAGAATGTCCTTAATCCACAGTTTTCACATTCATTTGCTAATCTCTCAAGATTTTCTCAAGCAGCTGTGCGCTCCTTTTTCGGGACACTTCTCATCCCCTCCTGAAACGCAGCGACGGTGAATTGGGCCGGATAACTGTGTCGCCCTACTTTGGAGTTCCTGCTCCATTTTCGGCTCGCAGCTATTTATGCCCCAAACCTTCTGTTCCACGTGTGTTTGTCATTGTTTGTGTGTCTCAAAGCTTATCCTTCTGGAAAAATGAATGAATCAAGTTTTCCACTTGGTTTATTCTTCAACTTTGATGTATTCAAACATGTGGCACGGTCCAAATATTAACTTTTGACCACCACGTGACTCTCTGAAATGTTTCTAACAAGGACCACGTTCTTATGTAAGATGTTTCAATAATAACCCTTTACAAACTGCGCATAAAGTGGTCATTAAATCATCTTGTGGTCCCTTTATTTCATTGTGTGGATTCCTACATAGTGTTATACTGTATAACATCATTCATTCTCTGATTTTCTCTGTTTTTCAGGAACAAGAAGAAAACAAAAGTGCAACCAGTTGGCCAGAGTACTACATTGATCAGCTCAATTCAATGGCAGCTGTAAGTCATACCTTTAAACTTAATTTTTTACATTAAAAATGGTCACAAAATAGTCCTTTTTTATAAATAAAACATCTCTTGACAACTTCAGACTTAATGAAGCTAGTAGTAGTAAGCCAAAAAATGGCACAATTTACACTTTTCAAGTGTAAACTTCTGCAAATCTTTTATCTTTTCCGTTGAATTGTAACTCTGAATCAGATCTTTATTATGTGTTATCTTCTGTTGAACAGAGAAAGACGCTCCTCGCGCTGGAGAAAGAGGACGAGGAGGAGAGAAACAAAACCATAGAGAGCTTGAAGACCGCTCTGAGGACACAACCCATGAGGTGGATACGAGCCTCATCTCTCTCTGTCTCATCTCTTTCTATATCTTCTTTCTGTCCTTTGCGTTAAATGCCACCTGTCATCCTTTCATTGGCCTCCTCTAACCTCTGTCTGTCAATCATTTGAGTCGCTCTCAACATTATGTAAATGAGTCCTTTAAGAATAAAATGGCGATGAAGGGCACTGCAGTGTTGGTAAATTAAAAAAGAAAAATTCTCAAGAGATGCAGAAGAGAGCCTTAACAAGTGGCATATACAGTTCACACAAATATTTATCCATTGCAAGTGAAACTACAAGTTTACTGCTGGACATAAAAATGATATTTCATTTTAAAACAAACTTCTAAGATGATTTCTCTGTGCCTGCTCTTCCTTCAGGTTCGTTACTCGTTTTATCGACCTGGACGGCCTGACATGCATCCTAAACTTCCTGAAGAGCATGGACTACGAGACCACAGAGTCGCAGATCCACACGTCTCTGATTGGCTGCATCAAAGCTCTCATGAACAACTCACAGGGCCGCGCCCACGTCCTCTCTCACTCTGAGAGCATCAACATCATCGCTCAAAGCCTGGCCACAGAGAACATCAAGACCAAAGTTGCTGTGTTGGAGATCATGGGTGCTGTGTGTCTGGTCCCTGGTGGACACAAAAAGATCCTGGAGGCCATGCTGCATTACCAACGCTTCGCCTGCGAGAGGACGAGATTTCAGGTGAGGGCAGGTCAAGGACAAAGCTGTGGTTTTAAATCTCCTGCAGGTAGATGGAAGTCATTAAAAAGCAACAGTGTGTGAAGATACTCTAACACCTGTAATAACCCTGTCATCCCTCAGACACTAATAAACGATTTGGACCGGAGTACGGGTCGATACAGAGATGAGGTCAACCTGAAAACAGCTATCATGTCCTTTATTAACGCTGTCCTGAGTCAAGGGGCCGGAGAGGTGAGTTATATATAAACGACACTTTTTTTTGCTTCCTTTCAAACCAGAAGGTCTTTGAAAAACATTGTTCACATCTTTTTTTCTATTTATTTTCCCAAATACAGACAAGTTTGGAATTCCGCATCCACCTCCGATATGAGTTTCTAATGCTGGGGATCCAACCTGTGATCGATAAGCTACGTTCTCATGAAAACTCTACATTAGACAGGTGAGATGGAGCACAAGAGAATTCACCCTGCTCTAGAGTGGGACCAACCAATGTGTGTTTTTCAGCTCAAAGACATGAAATCAAAGCTGTCAAATATTCCAGGGTGCTTTCACACCAGGAAATTTTGGAGAAGTTATTCCAGAACAGAGGGCATTTGCACCTTTGGCACTGATTGTTTGGAAATATGTGAACATCATCAGCAATCACACTCTGATGTGGAAACAAAATAAGTGAGACAAGATCCTCCAAAAGAGGTGGTCTCGGCTCGCTGCCAATCGAACCCTGCAGAAACTGTATAAGCAGTAGTAATAGTAGTAGTAGTTTCTAGCAATAGCAGTAGTTGTTGTAGTTACTGTAGGCTAATAAAAGGTGCAGTAATACAGCTTCCTCCATCCAATTCAACATCACAGTACTTTCTTAAAAAGCCCATCTCTTTCATGAGATGCCCCTCTATTTTTGTAAGTGGTGTCCAACATTTGACAAATTTTCTAATAATTTGGCGTCTTGTTCACCTCCACTGTCGGAAAAGTAGGCTCTGACCTAATGATATAAAGAAGGCCCGGTTGTTGTGTTTTGGCCTGTTTCACAACTTTGCAGTCTGAACATAAAACAACTAAAGAAAAAAATGCAACAATGTTTCATTTTTTTCATCTAAATCCGAAAAAAAACGAGCTATAGGTGTGAAAGCACGCTCAATCTTTTCAGCTAATGTCAATCACATCAGATCTGATTGATCTGGATCTGTTTTATAGATTAGGTATCAGATTGAATACCTCTTTGTTAAACTAATCCACTCTGTTCCTCTCAGGCATTTGGACTATTTTGAGATGCTGCGAAACGACGATGAGCTGGCTTTGTCAAAGCGTTTTGAGTCGGTAAGGAAAATAAAACATGGTTTTCAAACATTATTTACTAAATATTTGTAACTGTAAAACATTAAGTAGCAGATATTCACAGGGAGGTTGTTTTACTCTCCTCTTCTTCTTCCAGGTACATATAGACACCAAGAGTGCCAGCCAAGTTTTTGATCTCATCCGTAAGAAGATGAATCACACTGATGCATACCCGCACTTTATGTCCGTCCTGCATCACTGTCTCCTCATGCCACGTGAGTCTTTTCTTCAGCTTATTTGTTACTGGGCTGCAAACTACTGAGGAAAATGTGTTCAAAAATCTTTAAAGATAAGTAATTAAAAGACGCTGGTGATCAATGAGTCTCAAAATGAAGTAGTAGTAATACTGCCACATAGGCCCCCCAACAGAAATAGCTGAATCCCTGAAAGGCCAAGTGAATGGGCCCTCAACAGATGTCATTTAATTGAATATCAGTACATGCCTGTTGGATCAGTGGTCTAAGTCCTAGCCTCCTGGCTAACATTTGCGTCCTCTGTCTGGCTCTGTTTAGCTTTTGGAGCTTACTAAAAATACATTTGCTTAGATGTTATTGTCTGGATCAAATGCCGTAGCCTCCTTTCTTTCTGGCATCCTGACTTTTGTGCAGGTCCTTGCATGGCTATACCCAGCCCAAGATTACTTACTAATAACAGTTAAGGTCAATGGCTCTCCCACAACTTTAACGTTACAGAACAGGGTTCATACCGTTTTAAAAATATGGGATTGAAACAGGCAACAATGAATAAAACGTCTTTCTTTGTTGTGTTCATAAATAATGGTGAGTATTTAGGTTTCAAAAAATTATTATGATTGCTTACATTTTTGGGTGGACATTGTTTTACCTAACTCTAATGGCCCCTGATAACTTTCCCCTATTTGCCCCCTTATGGAAGGCCTTAATACTCAGTACATCTGTGCATCCTTGTTTCTGGTCTAACAAAGACTCGAAGCCAGAGACTGTTGTTGGCCAACATACAATGCTGCGCATGATTAGCGTTAGCCAGCTTTCACACGGCAATTTACTTGACAATATAGAGGCACCATACTACTGCAGTAACGTCATTCAAGGCTCATTTTCCTCTTTCAGTGTCTTTTCAACGAGACCCTCAGTTACTCCTTGAAAGCATTAAGAGTGTAATTAAAACTTCAGACACAAAAAGATGTGTGTGTTCCAGTTATCCACAAGGAGACTAGTGTGGGCTGATGATCGCACCTCTTTAGGAGGAGGAGGAGGAATTAAATGGTATAACTGATTATGACATTATGTCTAACATGTCCCAAATACCCTGTAAACGAGTAGCAATAAGATACCATTATGTCCACAGGGGAGCCACAATCGACACAAACTGAAAGTTCCTCACAGGAGTTTTAAACAACCACTGTGCATTCTGTTTTTCTTCTGCTGTCACAAAAAATACTTATGAGGATACAAATCTTTATCCATGTGTTTATCCAACCTCTCTCCTCAGACAAGAGGAGCGGTAACACGGTGCAGTACTGGCTGCTGTTGGATCGTATTGTCCAGCAGATGGTTTTGCAGAACGACAAAGGTCACGACCCGGACGTCACACCACTGGAGAATTTTAACGTGAAGAACGTAGTCCGGATGTGAGTCCTCACTGCCCCCCAACTCCCACCCTCACCCCCACCCAGTGCTCAGACTGACACATGATGAATAAGTACCTGGAACAGATTACACAGCCTCCTCATTGAAGGATTGGGAACTGTGTTTGTGTTTCCTGAAAGATAAAAGGCCATGTGCTAAACAGTGTTTAGCCCAAAAATAGTCTTTCAGGAAAAAAAAAAACCTGTAACTTGAGTTATTCATGTTGAAACTGTGTTTGATTATCTGTGTGGCTCTTTGTGCAGGCTGGTGAATGAAAATGAGGTCAAGCAGTGGAAAGAGCAGGCAGAGAAGATGAGGAAAGGTTTGTATATTTTTAAATAAGAGTCCTGTCATGATTAAGTCTAGTAAATGTTGTGGCCAAACTGCATTCAGTGTTATTAAATCACAGTTCTGTGACTTCCCTTTATACAGAGCACCATGAGTTGCAGCAGAAGTTTGATAAGAAGGAGCGTGAATGTGATGCAAAGACTCAGGAGAAGGAGGACATGATGCAGACGCTCAACAAGATGAAAGAGAAGCTGGAAAAGGAGAGCACCGAGCACAAGAATGTCAAACAGCAAGTGGCCGAACTCACTGCCCGACTGCACGAACTCAGCACTGTATGTGGTCCATTACATTAACCTTAAAATACAACCTCAGTGGAAGTTTTCCAGAGCGATCACCGAGTTCATATCATCACCAAACAGGAGCGAGAATTTAGATTAGATACAGCGCCTGAATAAATATTTACTCAGTGAAACTTTTCCTCATGTTATAACTGCAAGGTAAATAAAATAAAAAATAATTTTATTAGGGTTTAATGTAATCAACCAAGCCAACACAGGCTATCACTTTAGAATGGAAGGGAGAGATAATAGAGGGTATACAATATGATTTAAAACTAGAAGATGTCCAGCTTAGAGTGCTTTGCAGACAGCTTTGAGGTGAAATAAGCAGCCTGAAGGTTAACTTAAGTCTTTTTAAAAATGAGTATTGTAAATCTGAGAAATGTGGAAAACTTATGCAAGGCACTAAAAATCATTTATTTCTGTCCCCTCTTTACATATAAATCTTTTCCTTTATATGTTGATACCCTGAAAAGTGAACAGTTGACAGTTAGGCCGAGTCATTTAATGTAAGTACACTATCAGGTGTTTAAATGTTTATCAAGACATACAGTCTGTATTTGAGAGGAGGAATGTAAGGCAAGTTTACAAATGAATAAGAAACATGAAACATGATGCATTAGAAGCATGTTACTACAAACAGTTATTGGAAAAAGTCCTCCTAAGACCTGGTTTTATTTGTTAGCTGTTCTAACTGTTTATGCTTTTTGTCCCATAAATGAATCCTTAAGTATTAAGAAGTATTTTCCTAACCTGTGTTATCTGTAACTCTGCACCATTTTAAATACGCCCTCTTTTTTTTTTTTTTTCTACTCCCCCAGCAGCGACAAGCTGCTGTTGTTCCCGGAGGCCCTCCCCTCCTTCCAGGTCCTCCTGGTGGTCCTGTGCCTCCTCCACCCATGCCAGCCTTCGGAGGCATGGTCCCACCTCCACCGCCTCCTCCCGGAGGCATGATGCCTCCTCCTCCTCCCCCACCCCCTCCTCCCGGTGGTCCTCCACCTCCTCCTGGACGCGCACCCATCGGCGGCATCCCTCCACCTCCAGGAGCACCCCTAGGACCCTCCCTGAAAATGAAGAACATTCCCCAGCCAGCCAATGCGCTCAAGTCCTTCAACTGGTCCAAGTTAGCTGAGGTGAGAACAGTGGAGAAGCCCTGAATAGAATGAAAATATTTGTTTAAACCTGATAAATAAATGTTCCTTCTCCTCTGCTCAGAATAAACTGGAGGGCACCGTGTGGATGGAGGTTGATGATGCCAAGGTTTTCAAAATCCTGGACCTGGAGGACATAGAAAAGACCTTTTCAGCCTATCAGAGACAGCAGGTACTGAGGGCGAAGCAGTTCACTTCTCAGGATCAACAAATGTTACCTTCTGGTATCAAAGAGGGGTCGGGGGGGAAGAGATATGTTGGGTGGGTGGGCGTTGGTTGGCTGATGGTGCAGCTGGCTTGCATTTTCACATTTTTCTCCTGTTTTGCAACTTTTGATTCTTGACTGAATCCAAAAAAAGGAGAATGGAAAAGACAAACCATTTACAAAAAGTCAAAAAAAAAGAATGGAGAATGAGTGCTGATAGATTTTGGAGTTTATTTGATCCAAAACTTTCATCCCTGGGTCATCTTGAATGCCTTCTCACACTTAATAGAATGCTTTTTTTTTTTTTTTTTTTTTTAAGCTATTTCTGTTTGTAGTTTTGCCATATTTGATTCAAGTTGCATGAGTGAGCTGCTGAGAATCAGCTGTTTCCTTCTTGTGCTTTCATTTATTTGCTATTTTTTCATAGTCGTGTCTTTAGTAGTTCCACTAAGAGGAATGAGCATGTCGTTTAAAAGCTTGTTCCTGCTCAAACAGAAAGCATGTCCAACACTCAAAAAATGAAAATTGATGAATTAGATGTGTCTGATTGTCTACTAAATTTAGATCCCCCAGTGGCAACCTGATTAGTTTACACAAAAACATGACACATCTCAAAGTAGACTCACTTCACAGATGTGCACAGCATGTGAAGCAAACGCACGCACTCATCAACTGAACACCCACTCATGTCCCACTGCTGCTCACTCCATTACTGATGTATCCATCGCAGTCAGAGTGAGCTTTGATTCATGTTGCTGTTTGTTTTTTATGGGCTGCAATCACGTAACTGCTTGACTTATTCTAATGAGTGCTTACATCTTCCCTGCTTCTTGCCTGCGTTTTAGGACTTCTTTATGATCAATAACACCAAACAGGTGAGTGCACTTACAGAAGATATACAGTCTATGTTGCTTCTTGTTTATTCGGTCTGACTTTCTTTTGATGTTTGATATTTTTTTCTACTCTAAGTTCAGCTACTTTCAATGTGTGTCCAACAGATTATAAAACTTTAAGTCGGTCATATTTCTTGAGTTGTGTGTTTGCATGTTTGTGTAACTGTTTTTTAAAGTCTCTGTTGTATTTTTTCTTGTTCGGGGTGTTAGGGGATATGTTATCGTTATCTTTGTGTGTCTTTTACTTAAATTAAATTGTGTACATTTAAGTAGCACTAACTCTTTCATCACTTTGCTCACACAGAAAGAGGCCGACGATGACACGCTGAGCTCTAAAAAAGTCAAAGAACTTTCCGTCATCGATGGCCGTCGAGCTCAAAACTGCAACATTCTGCTCTCACGGTGGGTTTACTCAAGCATCGTAACACAGCGGACACCTCAAAGGATATGATGGATTTTTAATTCCCCCTTGATGTGATGTGATGTGATGTGATGTGCTGCAGGCTGAAGCTCTCAAATGAGGAGATCAAGAGAGCCATACTAACCATGGACGAACAGGAGGATCTTCCCAAAGACATGCTGGAGCAGGTAGGTCACAAAGTCTCCTGCTTGTGTTCAAGGTATTCATGCAGTGCGCAAGGTTACAGTCTGTAAGTAAGGTATAAGACGATTTCTGGTTACTGTGGTTGTGATAGGGGATTGAGCAGTGACACACCTGTTGTATTGATTCAGTCCTCTTCATTTGCCAGAATAAAACAGATGAATATGTTTTAAATATATTCATCTTTTTTCTGCCCCATCAGCTGCTGAAGTTTATCCCTGAGAAAAGCGATGTGGATCTTCTGGAGGAACACAAACATGAGCTCGACCGAATGGCAAAACCTGACCGCTTCCTCTATGAGATGAGCAGGTACTTCACTGGTTTATTTTTTCCCCTCATTCTTTTAATAAACAGGTAGTGACAGCTTCATGTCGGCACGGCACTCACGCCAGATCAGATATGCTGACAAACAATAGCCATTGTTTCGTCTTAGTGCGAGCAGATGCATGAAATGACACATGGGTTCCCACTGAGCCGGGAACAATACCTAACTGTGTGAATCATTACTTCCAAACTGTGTTGCTTAATAAAGAGAGTTTGTCGTTTTAATTGCAGAGTTTGCATTCCAGTTTTCTTGAAATAAAAGGAACAAAAGGAACCAGTCTCGACTCACTGCATGAGTACATTTAAAACCAGCAAAGCTCAGAAACTCAAGCAAATGATGTCACTCCAGAATATTGACTTGAGATGCCTTCATGTCAGAAAAATTAAGATTGATGAAATTAGTTTATTTAGGTTTTCATGATTTACTGTGCTTAAACAGTTTGTTGCCATTAGAGTTTCCTCAGAGTACAGAATGGACTGGAGGACAGATGTCACTGTGGCTTTCATTAGCCGCAGACTCAACGCTTCATAAGCTGAAATAAAACAAAAAGCTGCCAAAATAAGCCTCAGAATCTCAAATCAAACTTTATGTGTCCTATTGAGGAAGCACACAGGCTTTATTTTTCTAAAGCACAATGTCCATGTTTATGGCTTTTGTCTAAATGTGTGGATTTCCCTGTTTATAATTCTTATTTCTGGTCTATTTTCATTCCTCTCTGACACACTTTTTCCATCTGCTGTCCAGAATAAACCACTACCAGCAGAGGCTGCAGTCTCTCTACTTCAAAAAGAAGTTTGCAGAGAGGATAGCAGAGATGAAGCCCAAAGTAGAAGGTGGGGAAAATCAGAAAGATGTTTTTATTTATAATCAAGAACCAAAAGCATTCTCTTCTAAAGCATCAATGTGGTCAACATGATCGACCTCTTTTAATGATCTGAAAACATGAATGCTCGTACTGTTGTTGTGTCTCAGCTCTGACAAAGGCGTCCAAGGAGATTTTACACAGCAGAAACCTGAAGCAGCTGCTGGAGGTGGTGCTGGCCTTTGGAAACTTCATGAACAAGGGTCAGAGGGGGAACGCTTACGGCTTCAAGGTGTCCTCTCTCAACAAGATCGCTGATACCAAATCCAGTATTGACAAGTGAGTGCAGTTTCCAATTGTGACATCAACACTTTCAGACACATAAAGAACAGCCTGAAAGACATTAAAGTCCCATCTCGAACAGGATATGTGATGAAGATGAAACCCCATACATTATCTGAACCTGCCTTTGAGTAGTAATACATCACACATCTGACATGTTCACTGATCCCTCCCCTCACTGTGTCTGTGCAGAAACATCACTCTCCTGCACTACCTGATCACCATCCTGGAGAAGAAATACCCCAAAGTCCTGATGTTCCAGGAGGACCTGCAGAGCATCTCAGTGGCAGCCAAAGTCAAGTACGACAACCTGCTGCCATATTTACTGTTTGCTTAAAATTGTTTTCTTTTCATTTGATTCTAAACCAAAGTTGTCATTTTCAGCATGACTGAGCTGGAAAAAGATATCAACAACCTGCGAAGCAGCTTGAAAAGTGTAGAGAGTGTGAGTCACAGAAAATCTGAGATGATACATGCTCTTGTACTATATTTACTGCAAGACTACTGTAGCTTTTATTTCCCCTTAACTTTCTCTCCTGTATAATTTTTCTTTTGATAGGAGCTAGAATACCAGAAGAAGCGACCGCAGGAACTGGGCGACAAGTTTGTGTCGGTGGTGAGTCAGTTCATCACCGTGGCCAGCTTCAGCTTTTCTGATGTGGAGGACTCTCTCACCGAGGCCCGGGAGCTTGTAAGTCATCTCTGCTGCACTCTGGTTTGTTTGTGCAGAAAAAGCTGCTCCACTGTCCCTTTCTGTAGACATCCCATTTCCTCTGCGCGCAGCTGTTTCTACATGCCGCGTTGACCTCATCAGTCACCTTTCGAGGAAAGCTAACAGCAGGAGTCAAGTGTTTCAGCTTCCTGCTGCTGCACTGCCGGCGCTTTATTGCCCGGCATGCCTCGCGGCCATGTGTGCAGGTGAAAGACAAACCAGGAACAGAGGCTTGGATTGACTTTGACATCGTTATTTATGAGCCAACTTGTCATTTTGTGAAAGTTTACATACTTACAACATTTACATTTTCTTACACACAAATGAACACAAATGAACACAAAAAAAGGGGGTAATGGTGGGTTATTGGTTTGTGCGCACTCCAATGTATGGAGGCTGTGGCCCTCAAGGTGTGCACATGGGTTCTCTCTCTCTCTCTCTCTCTCTCTCTCTCTCTCTCTCTCTCTCTCTCTCTCCCTCCCTGGTTTCTGGCTCCGTCCACTGTCCTATCTGTAAAATGGAGATGGCAAAGCCCAAAAATAAACCTTGAAAAAGAATAAACCATTTTGGAATTACAGCAATTAAAAGGACATTTTTACAACTAGAAACCTGAGCATATTCATCTTTTATGTGAATTTTGACACCCTGAGGGTTAAATGAATCCATCTGTCCAAATGTCATTGGTACATGCTAGGAATGGATGATTTTCTATTTTAATGCTATTTTTGCCCAACAGTGTGTGTGTGTGTGTTTGAGTATGCTGTATTGACCCGATTGCTCTGCAGCCCACATGGCAACCTTTGGTTCCTGTGAATCATTTACAGTGTTCTCCAGTTTAACACTTGAGAGTGTGCAGTGCTCCTCTGTACTCCTGATTGGGAAACTGTGAACATGCAGATCCTGTAAACCGCTAGTTGCATAATAATTGCAAATTTCTGCAGAATACCAAGTTGTAAGGAAAAAAAGTGCCTAATAGATTTTGTGTGTGATGAACAGAGCTGAAGGTCCATATCTTCAGTATGCTCTCACATCTGGATGTTCTCCGTTTTTTCACTTACTGGGGAAAAAATAGTTCACAAACACGTTTCCTTAATTTGGGCTTTGGCTCCAGTCTCTGGTCCTGGCTGTAATCAGTAGCCGGTCAGATCTGGGTTAACACGGGCTTCAAAGCCCCGCTGCTGGTACCCGGCTCTTTTTTTTCAAAGAGCTGGGACGTAATGAGTGTCCTGTAAAACAGTGAAAGAGCGAGTAAAACATGGCCCCACTGTGTCCTGCTGTAAATCTAATCTCCTGTGCCCCCTCCCTGTGTCCCCCTTTCTCTTCGGCCCCTGCAGTTCCTCCGGGCAGTAAAGCACTTTGGCGAGGATGCCAGTAAGATGCAGCCAGATGAGTTCTTTGGCATCTTCGACCAGTTCTTGCAGTCATTCGCCGAAGCGCAGCAGGAGAACGAGAACATGCGGAAACGCAAAGAGGAGGAGGAGCGCAGGGCCAAAATGGAAGCTCAGGTACATAAGTGTTTCCCGTTTACATGTCAGACTTGTCAAAAAGAAGAAGTGAAGTTATGAACTGCTTCAATTAAACCATTTAAACTCTAAATAGCATTTGTTACCTCGGGACAGAGCCAGGCTTTCTGTTTTCAAATGAAGCTAAATAGCAGCACGATAAGAGAGTAGGAGCATTCTTCTGAACAAGAAAGAGAAGAAGGGTCTGCCCCAAGCATTTCTTTAATCCTTGCCAAATAATAACGTTATCTTTTTGTTCCGTGTCTCCAGCTGAAAGAGCAGAGGGAGAAGGAGCGAAAGGCCCGGAAAGCGAAGGCGAACGGGGAAGACGATGGCGGGGAGTTTGACGACCTGGTGTCGGCGCTGAGGTCAGGTGAAGTCTTTGACAAGGACTTGTCCAAGATGAAACGCAACCGCAAGCGCTTTAACAGCCAGAACACGGACTCAACCAGAGAGCGACCAATCACAAAGCTCAACTTCTAAGCGTTTGTTGAGGTCATCGTGATATTTTCTTTGGTTTTTGCCCCCCCTGCCCTCATCACAAGTTTCCCCTCTGGGTCGAAGTGACATGCACATTCCTCTGCACCTCCCTCCATTCCCACCCAGCTCGGCTTCGTGGGTGCAGCGCTACATGTTCAAACCTCTCATCCTCCCGAGGTTTTGATGTTTTAATGGGACAGAAGCCAAAAGTTGTTATTAACGACCGAACCCGAAAAAAAAAAAAAAATCTGTTTGGACAAATGAAATGTCGTACAGTAGCAGGACGATGTCTTCCCTCACTGGAGAGAAGTTTTCCTACATGTGCAAGAGGTGTTTGATAGGAACGGTTCTGTGCTGTCTTTTTGTACGTCAGATTCTATGCACAGAGAGAAAATGTGCAGCAAGCAGACCCCTCCAGGGCTTGATGCTCTATCCAAACAGGAAGATGATTCCACACACAAAAAAAAAAAACACAAGGGGCCATTTTGTACGGACTGATTTCATAGAGTGAGATGAGTTGCTGAATTGCTCTGGAGATCATTTTTGGAGAGTGACTGAATCTGAACTTCCTGATGGTGCTGCCGCCCCCGTTTGCAGTCAGAACCATCACAGGACTGAGACACAGTATTGTTAGACAGAGGATGTTTTTGACTACAGGTGACGCAGCGAAGAAGCAAAGGTTTCTTTTCTATTTGTCATTGTTGACGTGCAGCAGTTATATATGATCACTGTATGTTTAATTTGAACCTTTTTCCTGTTAAGAGCTGGCCTTAACTCTGTCATTTTTTAATTGTTGAGTTGGTACTCTTAAAGGCCTGGGCCTAATCTGCAATTTCTCAACAAATGTGTACACTCATGTCATAGATGACATATATCTATATATAAGGTTACGTGCTTGTTTCACATGCACATATAAATCCATAATGACTATGCTAAATACCATTAAAACCATACCCAATCAATGCAATACACTTGTTTTTGCGCTCTGAAGGAAAAGCCCTCCTTCAAGTTTATCTTGAACAGATGAAATACGTTTTCTGTACGATGGCTGGATTTACACTGCAAACTACAAGAAGAAAAATGACCTTGAACATCCACTTGTGGTATTTTCTTTCATGCAGAAAACACCACATGTTGACTTGTGTCAGCCGTGTGAATCCATCCAGAGTCCGATCTTTCCTTTGGAGTTTTATAATTTAAATATTGCCTTCCATTGTATGACCTGATGAGAATAAACAGGAGAAAAAGTTATGTTTTTACTTTTATTTCATGTACTTTAATTAATTCTTATGGGGCATTTATTGGACTTAATGATTCATTACAACCAGCATTCTGAATAAGTAAAAGAGAGACATTAAAAAAAGGATGGAAAGGTTTGTGTTACATCAGTGTTTTAACTTTAAGAACCGGCCAGCAGCTGGTCTAACTGCTCCATCTAGTGGTTGGTAAGTGCTATTGAACAAAGTACTTGTCATACACCTTGGTTTTAGAGCCAATCAGTTCACACTTTTTTTTTTAAAGTCACTCAATAAAATAGACACAAAGTGTTACAACTTCTTTGTAAGTGCTAATGCAGTATAAAACAGGTTGTCATTAGCTTCCTGCAAAAAAACAACTGTAAACTTGTCTCTTTAATACGGTTTATTACAGATAGATAATACCAATTTCTGATTTGAAAGTCTTTGAGATTTTTTTATTCTTCATTTGTTTTAAAACCCGACATGTAACTGAGTCTCATTTCAGTAGGAAACCATGCGTCAGTTTGTCCTCAGGCTCCTGAACAAAGTGTGAAACTCCTGTGTAGAACGCTCTGCCGGCAACTTCCACCACGACAGCCTTGAAGTCTCCACACTTGGTCTCCTGAACAGAAACAAGGAATATCAGATAAGGTATGAGCTCTGGTTTGACTTATTGATAGATTCATAAATGAACCTACAGAGTACAGGCTTAGAGCCCCGGAGAAGAGAGTTGTTCAAAAGGACTACAAAAAGATATAAAACCTAGGGGAAAAAAATGTAACCAGTTATAAAACCCCTACGAAAAGATACTAAACGACTACAAAGACTGGAAAAAAAACTACAAAAAGATAGAAAACCACAGAGACACAAATCCACCAAAAAAGACTAAAGAGACATTAATCCATGACAGAAACAAAACCAAAGATACAACTCAACTACATACGACCCCAAATGAACTACTACAAAGCAAAACTAAAACATTACTGAACAGCTTAAAGGAGAAACAAAACCCCTAAAAAAAGATCCAAAAACATAACATGTCATAAAATACAAAACAATTCAAAAGCACCCAAACCACAACAAAATGAGTTTAACCCACTACATAGAGACACAAAATGATGTCATGAAGACTAAACAACTTGCTACAGGACTCTAAAAAGACTTAAAAGACCATAAGGTCTTGTTACATGAAAAGAGTTAATATAACTACAAATACTTAACAAAAGAATAACATCATGCACAACAACTACAAAGACACAAAATATGTAAAACTACCACTCACAATACAACAAGACAAAAAGAAAACAAGGAAAAAGAGACCAGAAACAACCACATGCTGATAGAAATGAAATGGTCTCAATAAGAATGAAAACAATGTTAGAATGGAGACGTTATCATTTAAATACATTAAAACTATCATCTTTATTATAGCTAAGAATACATTCCTCACTTAGTAATCATGCAATATCTGCAGAGTCCTCAGTGACACACAAGAAGAAAACTCTGGTACCTCAACAGCTCTCCCTGTAAACTGGGATCCGGTGGCTCCACTCTCAAACGTCCTGATCTTATTCAGCTGGATCAGACCTTTGTGATACTGAAGAGCCACTCGAGCCGTGACACCAGAACCAGTGGGGCTCCGGTCCACCTGAAAACACGTTCAAACCAGTCACACCAGGATTTAGGTAATACTAAAGTATCAGACAGAGAAGGAGCAGTTTTTTTTTTCTCCAGGCCAGTAAGTGTCTCTTGGATACCTGAGCTTCTGCAAACACACAGATGTTTGCAGTGGGATCAGAGGAATAATCATCTTTGCCGTCTGTGAGGATGGTGCCGTAGAGAAAAGCTAAATCGTCACTGGTTGGATGGTGCAACTTCACCTGGGAGAGAAAAATCTATGATAAAAAAAATGTATAATCTGTGAGTAACCACTCGACAGATCACATTCTGAACTCCTGACCTGAGCTTTGACAGCGTTCGTCACTGCTGTGGCTGCGTCCACCAGATCTCGAGTCCTGGACTTGGTCACATCGAGGCCGAATGTCTGGGCGTTCACAAAGGCGTAGAAAGCTCCTCCATAGCTGATATCAACGGTTACATCACCAAACCCCTCCACTTTCACAGTCACACCTGGAGGGGGAAAGTGCTTAGGTAAGCCCTGCAGTGCATAAGAACAGGTGCTAACAGTGTATAGTGTCCTACCTGTGGCGAAAGCAAAGGCTGGCACACTGAGGAACCTCACCCCTCCTGTTTTACCACCAGAGTACTCAACAAACGCCTTCACCAGCCCGCAGGGGCAGTGAATGTTCACCTGTGTCTCTGGGGCCTGTGGTTCTTTCACCAGTTTGTAGTCCACAGCGTAGCGTCCCAGTGCAATGACGGCGTGTCCACACATGGTGCTGTACCCCTCATTGTGCATGAACAGGACCCCCAGATCAGCTTCAGGCAGCTCGCTGTCCACAATCAGGGCCCCGTACATGTCATAGTGTCCACGCGGCTCGTACATCAGCACCTTCCTCAGGTGGTCCAGATGCTCCCGGACGTATCGCCTCTTGGAGAGAACGCTGTCACCTTTGACCTCTGGGTAGCCATCGAAAATGATCCGTAAAGGCTCCCCGCCCGTGTGCATGTCGACCACCGAGAGCGCGTCACCCTTGTGAGGAGGAAGCTGAAGGTCCATCTTTAAGCTTCTTCGGGAAATAAATGAAAAGAAGTCTTAAAACAAAAACAACATTTCTCAACCTCAGTCCTGCAGGATGTTTTTTTTTTTTTTTTTATCTAAGACCTGTTTTCGCTCAAATGTACTTCAGGAGTCCAGTTGCCTTTAGATCAAGCTTCGAATACACTCATAAATAGATTATTCATTATTATCTCTTCTTAGAGTTGATCACATTTAGGAAGGATAAACTCTAGCCAGTTTATTAGGTGCTACTTTCTAAAAATAAATCCTGCAATAAATCCTCCTTTATGAAGGATGTAGTGCTCAGGTTATGTTTGGAGTAGACTGGTTTATAAAGGAGCGGAGTCAAATGTAAATTAATTCTGGAGATTTGTAATTTTTTAAGGTTTATCTTTGGGATTTGTATTCCTTTATTTTAGAGACAGGACAGAGTCAGAAATTGAGAGAGAGAGAGAGAGAGAGGGGACATGCAGGGAAAGGAAGCCACAGGATGGATTCGAACCCGGTCTGCCCGAGCACTAACCATGAGGCTACCGGCTCACTCATTCTGGAGAATGTTTTGTTTTTAAAACATTTAATTCATTAGAGAATATTCAACATAAAAGCACAAACCAGAGTTCAACACAGCACAGAACCGTTCATATCTATAAATTAATTAATTAATTAATGTGTATAATTTCAAAATAAAAGTAGCCTATAGTATAGTGGGTATAATAAGGCTACAGTCCCAACAGATGTCATTCTTATTTTTCTTTCACCACTTTCTAGAAAATGTGTTTACTGGTCAGGAGTCAACATGAGGTCTTGTTTCACTTAAAATTAAATGACATGTAATAAATAAATCAATTAATTCTGGCTACTTCAAACTTGCAAACCATGTGATAGAGTAGCCTAACTCAAGCCTAAAGTTTTGTGGACTTCAGTCGTCTTAAATACACTGAAACGGAAGACGATGATAATGACATCACAGTCTGAAGTAACATGATGCAAAAAAAACAAAAAAACATCAAAGGTTAAATCACAAAGCATTTTTTTTTTTTTGTATTTACCTGATTAATTCTTCGCTCTCTCAAAACTTGTTCAGCCTCCTGTCCTGTTTTATTTCTCCTGCGGCTACGTGTTCCTGTGAGCAGAGACACTAAACCTAGACTTTAGCGCCATCTCGTGTTCTGGAGGACAACATTACATGAACCATTTACTGTCAAAGTGTCCCTCAATTCAAGGAAAGTTTAGAGTTATGGAGGTTAAGTCATTAACAAAATGAATACAAGTCATCAAGAACTTGGGAATATTAGAATAATATGAGTTTTTCTTTCCATATCAGAATTGATTATTAAATGATAGGAGAAACAGTCTGCTTTGATGCATGTCACCCCCTGCTTTCTCTCCATTTGTTCTGTCTGTTATTGACGTACGGATTAAAACCAGGCTAAGGAGTGGCTGGACTAATTCAGGTGGATTTAGGTGCTTCAATTATTCCTGCTTCAGAGGAAAATGCTTTCCTGAACAATCACTGTAGACAGATTTCCTTGATGCATGCAAAGTCATTTTTACATGTTATATAAAATAGATTTACGTCATCGGTCACATGTTCATATGAATACAACTCACAGCCTGCAAAAAACTAGAAAATATCAAGAGGTTTTTTTGTCAGTAATGTTTGTGTGCGTTATCATTTTCTTAATTGTAATGCTAAGTTAAACCCTGGATGTATTTATTCTCATTCTTAGTTTTTATATTTTTAGTGCTTATTGACTTTGTATTTAATATTATGTTGTGTTTATTTGCTAATATTGTGTGTTTGGATAACCTGCTGCTGTAACGCCACAATCTCCCAGTTTGGGATCAATATAGTAATTCTATTCTATTCTAATGAAAATGTTCATTTCAGGATTTGCACCGTGTGTGCAGTAACACGTGAAATCTCCCATGGTTAAAAAAACAAACAAGACTTGCATAACTGTTTATTTAAACAAATAAGGAATAATACTGACAGAAACACTGAAATTTAAACTTGGATCAAATACCTGAGCAAGAGGCCGGAGGAACATGGAAGAATATACAAGAGGTTTGCCTCAGTGAGCCGTTCAATTATTAACATTAGTTTTAAGGAAAATAAATCTTGAACAATGAAATGAATGGAATGATCTATAGGCTAGTTGAATAAATCTATAATCAAATGTCCATTTCTGCATTCCTATTCCTAATTCACATGCAAAATTTAAAAATGTTCTAAACAGCATATGCATAATTCAGTAACAAATTCAACTAAACCAATATTTAGTTTCAAGTTTTAAATAATGTGTTTGTATTTATTGTCTGGTGAAGAACAAGAAAAAAAGAGTTAAATGCCAACACCATAAAGACCTGATCACATCCCATCAAACTCTGAATGAGGCTTTATCATTGTAAGGCACGTGTCATTACCTTAATATTTACAGTCTATGGTCATTACCTGACAGTAACTCTAAGGTTGGTTCTCACTGTCACCTAACTGATCTGTAAAGTTATTTCATCACTCTGAAAGTTGTGCCAAGCACTTTGAATTTAAATCAAGAAGAAAATCATTCCAGGAAGACCGTGATAAAATGATAAAGATATAGAAAATATATTCCCCCTACTTAACTCCTTTTAAAACAAGTGTTCAAAAATACTAATTTCAGTTTTGGCTTTCCAAACCGTGACATACAAAGGAGCATAAAAGTGCTTCCAAAAAAACAAGAGTACAAGAATATTCCCTGGGTTAAATCAAGATATTTACTGCATGCAGTCAAGTGTTCAATCTTAGACACTTCTCTGGCAGAAGATCAAGACATGCAAACTGGTGAAAACTTCTTTATTACAAGAAGTTTTAAAACGGTCCATCATCTTTTTTTGGTGCAACAAGCCTAGAGGAGGCCTCAGCCAAGTCATGACTTTTCACTCTGGCCTTCGGCGATGACGTCGGCGGCAGCGACAGTCTTCTTTTTACCGACAGCAGCCTGAGGACCTCGCTCACCTGCGTCTCGAGCACCGACAGGCGGCCGCTCAGGACCTGAATGTCTGCCTTCAGCTCTAGCTTTGCGTCGTGAAGGGTGGCGTGAAGGAGTGCTTGTTCAGACACTGGCTGAGGAAAGGAGTGTCTGAGGGAGTCGACCCCCAGGCTGAGCCCGAATGGATTTTTCTCCATTGGGCTCTTTTCCATCGGGCTTCTCTCAAAGGAGCTTCTTGACTCTCCAGCTCGGTCAATGCGTAGATCACTTTTTGTGATGCCGCTGTCACAGGAGTCTGTTTTGTGCAGGGCGCTTGTTTCTTCACCTGCTTCTCCGGCACTGGTTCCACCCTCTGTGCTCCCCGTCTCCCCGCCCTCCTCCAAATCCTGGTTCTTGTTGGTCACGGCTAACTGTTCTGAGCATCCTTTTGGCCACTCCTCCTCCTTCTTTGGCTGCTTCTCAGGCTCCACAGCAGGAGGCGGTGGTGCGGCTGAGGTGACATTTTTAAACTTTGCCCAACCTCGAGGACCTTTGCTGTTTGTAACGATGCTTGGAGCTCCCTCTCGACCTGCACTGCTTCCCCGCACAGGGCAGGACAGTTGATTGTCTTCACAAGGCTTCGATTTAGACTCCCCAGCCTCCTGTGTGCAGCTTTGCCCTGAGTTCTCAGTGTACATTAACGCTTGAGGAGGTGCATCCAGGCCTCCCCCCGTGCAGGGTGAATTATTCTTCACAGCCAGAAAAGGCTGAGAGGAAATACTTTTGGAGTTTGAGTCGATCTGCACACAGTTGTGTTCACAGTAAGCGTTGGAATGCCCCGGTATCGTAGTGTCTCTCTGCTGTCTGAACCTCTGGAACAGCTTACGGACCGGGTGGTCGTCAGGAATGGAGAGGGTCACCTCGGTCCTCTGGCGCTCCTGCTCCCTCTTCACATCTGCGATCTTCCTGAAGATGACCTGGAAAGAGAAAAACTGTGAATGAGAACAGTGATGGCGGGGACACACACACACACACACACACACACACACACACACACACACACACAGAGGCCACATTTTAAATTTGAATATTGGAGCCCTACAGACTGTACATGTAATGCAGCTTTATAGAAAGGAGCAAATCTAGGCCTACTATATATGCTGAAATATTAAAGAGCAGCAATGCTCAAGGGAAACTGTTAATGGAGCGATAATGGAGCGATGTCGAGGCGGTGAGTGTTTCCGAGTCCTCTCATAAAACAAATAAAGAAAACTTTAAACAGCTTCTTAACTTCCTTTTCTTCACTCAGTGGTCTTGAATAATTTCAAACATTGATATATTTTTAAATAGTTTGCATCTTGTAATGTTCGGTTGGGCATTATTGTTTAAATATCTTTTTTTATGTTCTGTGTGAAACTGTGATCACTTTTAAGTATTTTTAAGTATTTTTATGTATTTTACGCAGGGATGGATATTGCACATTAGCCTTTAAATGCTGTACGGTGTGGCATTGGTTTAAGTGCGTCATATGCGTCATCATTTAAATAAACAATACATTAATAAATCAGTGCATTGACTGACACACTGTCTGAAACTCTAAAGTTCATTAGAGGTAGTATAAGAGGCCGATACCAATACTGATATTGTTGTTCTTACAACAGTGATATGAAGTATTAAGTGCCCCATGTGTAAAGTTTAAAAGCATTTAGAGACTACAAGGGGTCAACTTCCTTTATAAGAAATGAATTGATTTAATGCATCTTATGTTTTATGTTCTAAACCATTTCATGAGAGAAAGCTGTTTTACTGGAAGGTCTACTCTTGATCCTTTTTTGCTGAGGTGTCAATAAGCAAACCAGCTGCAAAGGGTCAGCTGAACACATTCTAGTAGAGAGGGAAGAGAGTTCATCTTAAACCTATGCAGTTTCTAAAGCTGCTCAAATTAATAATGAATGGTTATATTTTTATTGAATGCATTTTAAGAACAAGCCATAAATCTTTCAACATGTAGCCACATTTTACCTTTAAGTTGTTTAGATGTAGAGCGGCTGTTCTTTACTGTTTTAGCTCAGTACAATAACATAAGACCTTTAACAACAGAGCTGCAGCAATATCATTATGTAAAGCATTATCAAATCATTATTAACCCGAGGCATTTTAATGTTCATAGTATGTAAGGGTTGATTTTCTCTATAGAGACATAATGTTACGTATATGCATGTCTATGTCATTTCTTCATAAGAGTGCATAATTTAAATCATAATATGCACAAGTTTCCATAAATCCACTCTGAACAAAGAGCAAAACAATCCACATGTGGCAGACTAAGTTTAAAGAGAATATTTCTTATCAATAATTAATGTGATCTTGATCCCATAGGACAAGAACGATAGAGATATATGAGCAACCCCCTATGGAGACTGGAAATAATTCATATTAGCCACAATGGCATAAACATGTACACCATTGCTATGCTCCATCAAATATTAATTAGAGCCTAAGACTGACACTATCAGATCTTTTGTTTCAAACTACTGTACACTTCTGTGAACTTCTTCAGAATAGTTCATATAGATACACATATGCACTAGTCAAGGACAGATAGTGGGTTGGCAATCCCACTAAGGACTTAATAACTTGGGAACGACTGTGAAAACATGCTATCTGAAGAAATTATATGTGTTCTGTATCAGCTTTTTCTCCTCTATATTGAAGTTTTATGATGCTTAAACTGAGTGAAATATTCAAAATCAAAAGTTTTATGTTTTTATGGCTGCATCCAGAGTTGTGATTAGAGGGTGGCCAGGGGTGGCATGGGCCCCCCTCTGAATCTACGGCTATCTGCCTGGTCAGATGCCTGGCTTAAGCTCAAACCATTTATTTTAGGCTGAGTTGTAAAGGTTCACTGCTAGCTTTTTTGGCAGTTATGTGTAGTAAATGTTCTTTCTCTGATACTTTTCACTCTGATGTTTTGTCATATTTTTTTATATTATTTAGTAGTCTAAGTAGATGTGATTAATTGAGACAAAAAAAAGTAAATAAATGTTCTCTGGACTTATTATTGTGTGCATTAACACCAGTCATAAACGTCTGGACAAGCCCCTGAATGACCGGTACTACAAATCCGCAAATTTTAGCCTGACATGTCTGGTATTTTGGAAAACTGAAGAGCGCCTAGGTGTGTACAGTAGAGTATCAATTATGTCTGGTTACAATTGTTATTTAGACCATCACTATATATTTCCTAACAATGCCATAGATGCCCAAATAATATTTTTTGAAGACAACAAATAGTCTTTCCTCACAGTTCAAGAGTCATTTTTACCCGTTTTCGAAGATTGCAGGTAAGGATGAGGTTGCGGGAGAACGTGTTGGCAAATGCTGTGTAAAACTCCAGCACTCTCATCAGAGCATCCCTCCTGATAACATGCAGGTCGCAGTAAGTCAAAGCACGGACATTTGCACAAGACCGGGCCATTGTGGTTTCTTTCCAGAACACATCTCCAAACACATCACCTTTTCCTGCATGGAGCCAGAAATATTATCCTTTTGTTAATCACAGACTGGAAGTTCACATTTTTGTCAAAAGCATGTCAGGCGTCATGAAAACGTTTTTACAAACTCAAATTCCATCATGATGTCATGCTCCTGTTGTTCCTGGTTGTTAGTCTTAATAAATCACACAAACCATCCCCATCTTGATGCTTGACAACTAGACAAGCAGTAAAATGATAATCGTCATAAATAGCTAATGTTAGCATCTGCCACTTACTAGCTAAAATTACCAGAGCTTGGACGTAGCTGAATGATAATATTAATTAATTGGAATGTGTTGGAGGAAAAGACCGGGAAAGGGGTTCATTTCTTGGTTACAGTGACAGTGATGATATTAGTGGTCGTCTGTTGTAGCCAAAAAAAGTAATACAATGAGCATGTTTTTTCTTTACAAAGTTAAATCAATCTAAGCCTTATCAAAAGTACTGTTAGCATTCAGCCATTTCCAATAGAATGCTAAAATAAGCTTGAATGTCGGTAAACGTTATCATTAGAGAATTGTTTTCTGGAAGTAGCTAATGGGTTTTCAAATACGTTGCTTTCCTTTGACAGGATTGTCCAAATTATCCCACCAGAATTCTCTTATATATTGTCTTTTCTGTTGGTGTTTTTGGTTTAGGAAGGAAATATGTCACTTAAAACCAGAAATAGAGGAGCACAACATTTTAACCGGTTCCACACCGAGTGTGATGTCAGAGAAAAATGGCCGCTGTTTGAGTATGGCCAATTGTATTTCATAACATTGCCTATAATTACCCAGTATAGCGATGACCTCATCATCCTGTATGACCTCGAGTGAGCCAGAGACCACAAAGCAGAGTGTGTCGACACTCTCTCCGATGTGGAAGATGAGGTCTCCAGGTGCACAGTGTGTGGTCTGAAACTCTACTGCCAGAGAGCGCAGACAGCCATCACAGGCCAGGCGAAATGCAGGATGGTCGTTGAACACCTGCCTGTTTAAGTGGACGCAGATATCGGCCCGCATGTCTTTGGGACAAATTGCCAGAACCTAAAAGAAATGGTGTCGATTGTGAACGTCATCAGCAGTGGTCAACCTTTTCCAAACAGTTAAGTCCAAAAGTTTTTAGTTGAGGGTGTTTCTATCACACCAGTCATATTGAAGCTCAATTTCAAAACCTTTTCAATAAAAGCTTGAATAAAATAGAGTGCAGGCTACTAATTTATGGTGTTCCTCGGGTGTTCAAAAAACACATACAAGTAGACCTTTTGATAGAAAATACATCAATGCAGTTGATGTCAGTCATTATTAGGCAAATGTACTTCTATAATCCAAATTATTCTGAAAAATTTGGCAACATTTTCCAAAGCTGCAGGGCCACAAGAAACATAAACTTTTTAGTAGCCCTGCCTTCATAAACCTCCATCAAATCAGTGCATTGAGATAATTCTATGACAATAAACATTTATTTATAAGCCTTTTTGTGTTAACAGACATTTGCTTTGGACCCTTAGTGATACCTTATCTGTGTCTATGCCCTTGGACATGGCCCAGGTGGAGACGATGAAGTCCATGACGCGTTCACTCAGACCTTTGGGAACCTGGTAAAGCTTCAAAAAGTCACGCACATTGTTGAGCATCTCATGGTAGCGGTTCGTGTTGGTGTACATCTGCTGGAAGATGGTGGTGACGTTTCCAAAGATGGTGGCATACAGCAGTGCTAAAACAGGCAGATGAAGAGCAAAGTCAGGTACCAAAGAAACAGCATGGCTGCAAAAAAGTCTGACTTGTAGTGAGGATATGATTTGTTGCATTAGGGATTTTGGTTCACAAGAAGGTCTGAAATGTTTTCTCAATGAATAATTGATACTTGTTTGTCTATATTCTGTAATTCTTCTCATATTTGAGGTTAATTATTGGAAGGTGTGATGGATCCAATAAATACAGTATGAGGAGGTCCTAGGGGGTAAAAACCCTTTAACATTGCATTTTTGCCTGCCCTCTACCTTTTATCTAAAAAACCATTTATGGTGCCAAATCAATAAAAATCTCCTTAAACAACTTAAAAGTCAAAAAAGGTCAGATGTTAAATCTTGATTAAGAATGTGAGGCTTTAATACTTAAGGCTTGGTTTGCATGTTTTCTGTTACAAAATTGAATTTAATATCCTTCTCAAACTAAACATAGATTTTAGCAAAAAGCACTTACATAGCACAATTCAACAGCATTTAATTTCCCCCAAATCCCATTACATGTATCTCAAGTATATTATAAGTAATAGAAGAATGTATTCTTTAGGTAAAAGACTTTATTTTGAAAGGGAAAACAATGAAAATGTGAGACAAGCTCTTTGAATGTTGGCGACCATTTGACTTAACCTGGGTAATAAGTATGACTTGCACATTAACTTTGATTATGACCAAACTGTTTCATATTTTAGTACAAGACATGCAATTTTTTTAAAAGAAATAAATAATTTTCTGTGTGTGCACTCAACAATCGCAGCATAATACCCGATATATTGTAAACAACATGGCTCTTCTCTAAAGAGTTCAAATATATACACACACAAGTGGTGGACTGTGATTCTATAATGCGATTCATAATGCAAATATTCCACAGAGCAGAGAAGTGTGCTGCAACGCTGCAGTGACCTCAAAGAGTCATTCAGCATCTCTTATCGAGAGCCTTTACCAGCTCAAGAGGAAAGAGTCGTATCCAGTCTTAGAGGTTAGGATACATAACTAACACGATGGCTCATTGTCCTTTTACTACACTGAAGCCTGCGGGTAAAAAACTCTCCCTTTCTCCAATTCCTACCGCATAATTAAACCCAAGTATCTGTAGCAGGAGATTTATCGGCTGTAATCAAAGGCGACATTTTGTTGTGACTGAGTGATCTTCGTGATGGAAACACCACCAGAGTACTGGGTGTTTACTTTAGGAAGTACAGACCTTGAAGCGAGGCTGTCAGTTTGGGTTTCCCTCACTGTTTTTATTGCATCACTTTACATGCTGTTTCAGAGGACTGGGATAAAGGTCAGTGCATGAGGGCGAATCGTGACAGAGGAACTGTAAAGCAAAGGCTGACAGTGGAGGCAGGGACTCTAAAGGTGAAGCTATTACTGTAACTGTTGTGTGTGATGAAAACAAGACAGACAACTGTATAAAAATAGCTCTTCCTATTTTTATAAAGAGGTCCATCGTCATTTAAATGAGGTTTGTTGGATTTTCTTTGTAGTGAGTCACATAATTAGAGCAGCTTCTATATGTTGATTACACTTACAGTATATATGTGAATGACAATTCTAAGGTGGCAAAATGTACTGACCTCTATGTTCACCCTTTTTGATTATTACAGTAGATTAAGTGTGCAGTTAAAAAAATATGACATTAGGAGTCCTCATCACAGCGGCCCTGGGTTCAAATCCGACCTCGGACCTTTCCTGCATGTCATCCCCCACTCTTCAGCTGTCCTATCTCATAAAGGCATAAAGGCAACAACAACAAAAAGACATTGAAACACAAGTGGAGACTATTTATAAACCTGTAGTGTTACAACATGCTATGGTCCATTACACTGCATTGAAGTCAGATGTGCAGGTGATTTACTGATCATTAAAACCATAATCAAATATATCATGTAAATAAAACATTTAGAATTTAGTTAGCATCAGGTTACTACAAGTGGAGGGTTATTTGTTTTGTGTATTTTGAAAAGAGCTGTATATAATATATTTAAAAATATTTATTAGTTGAGTTAGGCACATTTTTGAATACGTACATTTTATTTCCCAAAAGAACAATTCTTTTCTAATGGAGGGTACTGATGGCTAACCTTCAGACAGACCCTCACAGGGCGGATAGTGGCCACAGAAAAAAATGTCACTTTTTGTTATTGACAAAGTCGAGTCCTAAACTCTGCACAGTGGCTCAAGTGGTGAGTCTGCAGCTGAAAGTGTGAGTTACACAGAGACGAGAGGTCTAAGAATGAAAAAAGAAAACCATAATTTTACATTCTTCAATAAAAACAGTAGCATTTGGTGATGAAAATAATCCGAAATTGGCCATTCCTTTTTTTTTTTTTGCAATTTTTGCATTTATTAGATCGGATATGCAGACGAAGAGAGACAGGAAGAGAGTGGGGGGATGACATGCAGCAAAGGGCCAGGGTCGGACTCAACACCACAGCCACTGCGACGAGGACCACAGCCTCCATTCATGGAGCGTGCGACAGAACCGCTAGGCTATCGGCGCCCAAGAAATTAGCCATTCTTCATTTTAAAAAATGTGCTGTTTTTATAAGTTGCTCTGCTGGGCCAACACACAAAAATGAACCAAAATCAAAATTTAAAGATCTGCACAAGCTGTTAAACTTCCTATATTGAAGTCTGACCTTTTCAGCAATAAAAAAAACATGAGAAAACTTATTGAGACACAACCCTCAATCTTCTTTCTTTGTATGGAATGAGATAAATACATTTTTAAAAGTCATATTTTATACCAAACTGCAGACATGAGAACATATAGCCAGATAACTTTGCTTTATTGTGTTCTTAACAGCACTTGATAGTCTGAATCGTTTGTCTTTGCTTTAGGATCTCGTACGCTGTCGTTTGCTTGTTCACATTCGAGCGCTTGTATCTGAAGACTAATTGATTTTAAAATGCAATTTTTTTCTAAATAATCATTATACAGTGTTGATCTCTGCTGCTGTACACCATAACTTTTCCATAAAAACCACTGAATGTTGGTTTGATCTTTTAGAGCTGATTCTCTGAACCTGTAAAACATATGTTGCTTCACTGGCCGCTGGCAGAGAGCCACACAGACTGTGCAGCACACTAGCGTGTTTCGCATCACACGCAAGTAAATGCATCCAGATTGGTACGGCTCCCTCCTTCAAGGTTGCACTGGCATGTTATGAATGCATGAATGAAATGAAGCAGCATCAAAGGATGTATGTATAGTTTATTGCCGAGAGGTAAGGAGAAGGAAGGAGCAACGCTATACAGCTGATTTTCTTCTAGAATATGGCGATCATAATAAATATGTATGTGTTTACATTTCACATTAAAATACCAACTGTTAGCTTATATCACCTAAAGAGCTGTTCTTATAAGAAGCAGTCCCTCTTAAACTAACCCCTCTGTGGTTGTTAATAAGCTGGGCTATCCATAACTGAATTCAAGCCCTGTGTGACCACGTTCATAAACAATGTGAAAGACAGCTAATAATTGCCACATTACAGTAACTTGAATGTTAAGGACAACATCTCACTGTTTGAGGATGAGCTTGGGGAAAATAGCAACTAAGATACCTGAGCCAAACCATGGACTGTATGAAAGAAGTGGACAGAGTGAAGTCACCTATTTGGTGACTGGTTAATTTAAAGCCTCAAGTTTTACTTTTAGCGGTTGTGCTCTTGGTTTTTGAAAGCTGAATGTTACCATATTTGGATGAGAGAGTGGATCTGCATTACTTCATCCCCTGGTTGAAAGGTTGCCTTGTTGGAGACTTGTCACCAAGTAACCACAAAATCAAAGTTTATCCTTCTCGATTCTCAATCTGACCCTTATTTTTAACCATAATTGCTTTATCAACATCATGCTGTATTCAGGGGCAGAGCCAGACTTTTTTTTGACTGGGGCGGCTCAACTGGGGCTCTCACTTATGCATGGGTGGCCTGAAGTTTGTGGGCACACAGAGGTAGTAAGAGGTGAGAACATATACATTTTCTTAGCTTGATTCTTCAAGGAACCAAAAAGCTGTATTTTCAAAGATGTATGTCCAGAGTGTCAATTTAAAGTTCTAAAAAATGAAATATGCCTCATTGAAATGTAAGGAAAGTTACAAGCAGCCTGGGGAAACACTTTGTGTTTGTAATGTTTGTAATAGAAAGTTTATACTATGATGTACTTACAGCCGACCATCATCATCGCCACTGAGAAAATCTTCTCGCCATCTGTGGCCGGAGCGATGTTTCCAAAGCCGATGGTGGTGAGACTGGTCATGGTGAAGTAGAGCGAACTAATGTACAGCGTGTCCTTGTTGGGACCGCCTTCCCACTTTCCTGTCCCGCTGGCGTTGTAGCGGTATGGAGTCCCGATACTCAGGGCCAGCTGGTAGAGCCAGCTGTCTGTCTTTATGGTGTTGGTGGTCTCATCGATGACCTCGTAGTCCCCGATGCTGTACCAGATACAAGCCAGCCAGTGGGCCACCAGGCCGAAGACACACACTAGCAGAACAAGGACGGCCGCTCCGTATTCCAGGTAGTGATCCAATTTACGGGCCACCCTGCCGAGTCGAAGCAGGCGGATCACTTTCAGGGAGCTGAACAGGCTGCTGAGACCCTGAAGATGGGAGGAAGATGGGAGTCAGACACACTGTGCTGTTGGAGAGAATGATTTGTGGAAAGTTTTTGGCTAAAAATTCTGATGATCAGTCACTGGAGTCACTTGTTCCAGTTTGTCAAATCCGAGTTTTTCATGTTTTTTTTTCTACTGCAATAAAAAACTTGAAGTCTGTGTTTTTAAGACTGGTGGTTGAACAAGCAATTTGAATATGTCAATCATAACTGAAAGTTGTACATTTCTTAATTTTTTTCAATACATTTTTTACCAAATCATAAAAAACTGACTAATTTATTATTGAAAAAAAAAAAACACACACAATTTGTAGTTACCTTTGATATTCTGCTTCAACCTATCATGAACTCATTATTGAAAAAAGCTTTTTTCAGTAGGTTAAATGGATTTTCTCAATTTTCCAGTCCTATTGTTACACTGAAACACTAATACCAGTTCCTCTGTGGGTTTGTGGGGCAGATAATGAACAAGGTCACTTTTTATTTTAAAGTTCAAAACAGCAGAGGCTTTTACTGCTGATATACAGTAACTATATTTGTAGAATCAGAGTAGGCTTTTCTGGCACGACTTCACCAACTTCCAAGGTGCATACAGAATTAAAAATTCTACACATTTTTTTTATGAATTTTTTTTTAATGAATTTTATGAATTTTTTTTTTTTACTTTCTCTAACTTCTCACAGACATTATTATCTGACATTTTACAAAAAAATGTGGGTTACATGAACCTGCACAGACTTTTGAGACACTTGGGGGGCAGCATAAGAAAAGCTCCAATCATATTTTGACGTTTACAAACTCTCTCAGGCTGACATGGCTGTTAGAAAACAGCTACCTCTGTATTCATCAACCAGCGGAGTTGATTCTATGGTCCAAAATTAACTCTCTGTTAGCCCTGTTTTTGGCCTCCACCAACTCCTGAGGGAGAAATCTGGTACCAACCCAACACAATGCTACATTAACCAGCGAAACTTACTTTGCTTTTTGTGCTGTTTTGTTATTGGACATGTATCTTACAGTGGGCGTATTTATTACTATAATAGTAAGTCGTGAATTGTTAAACCAAAACAATGAGCTGATGGTTTTTACATTTCTGTAAGTTTTAAAAGATGGATATCCTTACTGGTAGAAAAGAGTCTTCTGCCCGTGTGGTATTCCTGTGGAAGTTTGGTGTCTCCCGCACGTGACTTGCTGTAGTCGCAGATGTAATAATATCCTTCATGGAAACAGTCAATCACACATGTTTTGATATTTTTTACAAAATGTTCAGAGTTAATTTCTGAGCAATCTAAGCAATAAACAAATGACATGAAATCATTCTCAGTTTCAGGTCCACCCACCTCATTTACATGTTCAAAGGCATTGATGATGTCATAGGGCAGACAGGACAGCAGGTCGATGACAAACCACGTCTTCAGGTAATTCATCCGTATCAGCCTCGCGTCTGAAATCACCTCTCCAGAAGGTCCCACAAAGGTGGTGTGGAAGTTGAGCACGATGTCAATCAGGAAGATGACGTCCACCACGCTGTCAAGAACCAGCCACGCCAGGTTGTTCTGCTTCGTCTTGAAGGAGACGTTGTAGGGAACCATGATGGCCGTGTAGAAGGTAAGGATGAGGATGACCCAGTCCCAGGTGGTCTTGAAGGTGCAGTAGTGGAGGATGATGTGTGGGGGGGTCTTCGGTGCCTCTTGTTTGTACTGAGGGAGAATTTCTGATCCCAGCTGGAGAGCCTTTGATTGAAAGGGAATATTAAAGGTGATGAATGCAGAATCTCATGAGATGTGCATCAAGTTCCTCTATAATCTGACTTTTAAAGACCTCTGTGTAACGCTGCTTTCACATTTTAAGCTTTCATGTTTTTTTTCCTTTAAACTGAGATGTAACTAAATTCTTTTATTAAGTAAAATATATATAACAATACTTTTTAATTAGCCATTCTACAAAAGCTATTGAGAAGACCTAGTTCTCCAACCTATGAGCAACTTCCCTGATGTAATTTGACCACTGAACACATAGCATTAAAAAGAAGCTCTCCTTGTAAGACCAGGATGCGACTCACCTCAGCCAGTCTGGAGGGCTTGTGGCTGACCTCGGTCTGGCTCAGCGGAGCCAACTGCTGCACCAGGTTGCGATTGTTGGTCAGTGCACGGGTCAGTCTGCCAAACTTTGTCCATCCTGCTAAGAGGCAATAAATCTGATGTGATGCAGCCTGTTACCGAGCAAATCTTCATACAAAGTGTAACATTTTTAATTGCAATGATGATATTTTTCTTAAACTGTACATTTAATCATGCTGAACATTTTTGACATCATGGCTTACGATCTAAAATATCTCCCCTAAAGAAGAAAGCCATTAAAGACTGCAATGCGGATATTCAAACTCAGTGTTTCCCACTTGTTTGCTTGTCGTCTGTGCTTCACAAGAAACATTTACTTTGAAATGTAATAGTTGTTTATGTTCTTATTGCAAAAACATTGCAAAAATGCATCATCCAGGGAGATATTTAACAATGTTTCTACACTGAAACAAAGATAAAGGGCACATGTGTTTTATATAGAAATGTATTTGTGTAAAAAATTGGTATACTGTTTAAGTTTTGGTGCTGTACTGAGCAGGACTCAGAAGACTAGAGATTTCTATCCACTGTGTATAATCAGTGTTTTCATACATTTGCCCTCCTCATGTGGCCTGAGTGTCCTTTGTTTCTGCTTGATGTATATAAAATCCTTTGCGGCTCACAACATCCCCTGGGACATGGCACGACTCAGACCCACAGAGACCCGTGTTCACTGACCTGCACACACAACACCTGGACTGTTGTACGTTACAAACCAGGAAGCAAACGTCTGTTACGTCACAGCCACTCATGTGTGCTTCAGACCTTTGGCTGCCCTCTCTGGCCTGTTTGGTCAAAATCAGGCTAAAAATATCCGAATCAAAACTTTCACTTGCCAATCAGCTGTTTTAAACCCTGAATGCAGGCAGATTCAAACCATCTGGATACATTATACGATCTGTCTCACCTCTTGTTGCCTCGTCCTCAATGGGCTGTTTGAAAAGTGTGATGTCTCTGAAGGTGCAGAGGAAAAGAACCACCTTGTCATTTTCATTTCTGATCGGAGCGACCTGCATGTAAAGCCAGATTGGTGTTCCTGTGGAAAGGATTGAAATGAGAGTTATGAGAGACTTAATGATATTTCATGATAATAAAAATGAAAATGCTCAATGGTGATACTTACTATCCTTAGTATAGAGCAGCACCTCATAGAAGTTGGACTCATAGTTATCAAAGGTCCTTCTGATGTTGTCAATTGTATTCTTGTCAGTCAGGTCACCGTACATGAAACTACGAAACAGCAGAGAAAAATGCGCCAAAAACATGAAAAAAAATGGTGTTCTTGTAAACTGGTAGAAGGGAAGATGATTAAAAAAGTCAAAAATTAACTATTTTTCTGAATGTCTTTAATTGTATTACATAATGACAATGTTATTATTATAGAGATCTCAGAAGCAAGACAAAGTTGTATTTCGTTTCTGGTCCTTTGGCATGTCTTTTTCATTTCAAACATTTTGGAATTATAGGACTCTCTGGGATTCATTTCTTTATGGAAAAACAGACTCATTTACATTGTCTCTTCTGGACATGATTTACCACAATAGATGTCAGATAAATTAAAAATATTACTATTACTGTCCTATTTTATAGTTTCAGTTTCTGTGAAGGTCTATATACAATGTATAAATAAGAACTTCATTTTGTAATAGTCACTTAAAGGGGAAACGCTTTTGCTTAGAAACCTTTTTAAAACATGAAAGAAGCCACATCATTAATTTTGATTGAATTAATCTGCACCTTTATTTAAAAATAAGCCATCCACTGTATCCTCATATTGAGGCCATTACAGGGCTATGACTGTCTTACTTGCAGGTGCCGCTCCTGTGCATGACTTCCGATCTGTGGTATCCAGACAGCTTGCAGAATCCATCATTGCTGTAAACCACCGGCCACTGCACGATCTGTGCATTCCCTAAGAGGAAACTGGTTTCTGCAACAACAACAAAAAACACAAAAACACAGCAATAAGACAAAAAATGTCTAATCTAACACACATCAGAGGACTGCTGCACCTGTTGATCAGCTTTTAGGGGAATCTTACCTTAATCATCACTACAGTTATGTAGCCACCTCAACCAAAAATTTGTCTTTTTTTCTATGTTGACATTGATTCATTCATTTAAAAAAATATGGTATTGTTAGATTCAAAAAGTCAATCTCCTATTTTCACATTTTCCTTCTTTCTTTATGGTCTCAAACATCCTGCTGTCCACTGTTAAAATTTGAAGAATAAACATCTCAAACCTGAACCTGAAATATCAATGGCAAGTATTTCATTCATTTAAAAATCAAATTGTGCTACTAAAAACATTATTTTAATAATTAAAGACACATGTATAAATATTTAAAGTCACTGTAAACAGAGGTAATCAGACAGGTTGCTGGGCAGAAATAGTTGTTGATAAAATGTCTATGTTCCAGTCTTAATGTGAATTAATTATTGATAAGGAGTGGCAAAGTTCTGCAGCTACACAACACTGTGGAGGGGGCTTTATCTTAAATGTAATGCTCAGATGTCAGATGAGTTTATGTTCTTTAGGAATGAGTCCACTCTGCAGTGGTTCGGGGTCTGAGAGCTGCAGGAACAAAGACTGGATTTCAGATGGTAGTCACACACAGTTCATTTGTTTAACTGGAGGTGAGTGAATGCAAGTTGCATTATCTTTAGACAACACAGTTTGAGCTATTAATAAAAAACATTTAATCTCACAAATTGTCACTCAAATATCTGAGCTTCAATCTGCAACACAGACTGTCAATACAAATATATTTTTCACAATAAATGTAAGAAATTTCTCTGCAAAACAGAACACTGTTGAAATGGACACGGGTGCTAAAGGAGATTAAATACCATAAATTGCATTTGTGTCACCAAAAGTGCAATCAGATTCACAGTCCTTTAAACAGCTCCTAAGGACCCCGAAATTTAACAGATTTTTGTTTAAAGTAAATACCTCTCTTAAAGTCTAGTGTCAAGCTAATCTCTGGATTGAACTCGCATTATTTACAATTATGTTAAGATGACTGTTGCAATTTCAGAAGGTTTAAAATTCAAATTCACTGTTCACAGAACAAATTGAAGGTATCATGCATAAAATCATGAGAACCTTTGGGCTGAAGGTTAAATTATAAATACATAAACACTTCCTGTCTCTGAACATAACTGCAACACTGCTATAGGCCTATCTATTTGTTTTTAACTTACATCCACAAGTACAGTATATTTAATATAACCAGCCATATGAACCAGTCCTTTCTTTTAAACAAACCTCAAGTTTTATTCTTGTCATATATTCAAAATGTCTAAAGAAATATCACAAGAATATCAGATTTTTAGTTCATAACCCAGGGAATTTGGAATTGAGATTTCACATATATATAGTTATAGAAAGAAAAAGAAAGAAAAAAGAAGTGTGAAAATCGTCTAAATTGTCATTTGATGCTGCGTCCCACCCTTGGTTTACTTTAGTCTCTCGTGCAGCCCGCACTGTGTGGTACCTTGATTGACATGTCAGATCAACATTCATGAAATCTTGTGTCCCCTACAAAGTAAAACTCACCGCTGGAGCGCCGCACGATGTTTTCCAGAAAAGTGTTTTGCGGAGCCACCAGTCCTCTCTTGCCCCCATGCATTATGAGGGTTCAGGACAGAGACCCACTGCTGCTCGGTGCGAGTGCTGATGTTGGCAACTATCCTCCTCAATTGAGCTGCCAGCCCGATCCGATCTTGGACCACAAGAGTCAAGTGACCCACATTTAAAGAGGAACATCCGGGTGTATATTGTTAAAATAAAGGCCTTGTCGTTGATTGTGGCATTTTTCCGTGTGAGTGAAAATTGAAGACAATTACATGTGCTCTTGGGATCACAGCTTTAATGATCCACAGAGTGCCTTTTGCAAATCACATTTACAGAGACTTTCTGTCATAGTCAGAGCCATGTACAGCCAGGAATAAGTCATATAAAACAGGTAGCTTGATAGAAAACTTGAATAGATCTTAATTGACTAAATTAACTTAAAGTTTTTTGATGTATCATCAACTAATTTCACTTAAGAATTTACATACTTTGTATATTTTATTTTCAAAATAACGTTATTTAAAAGTGTGCGTCTTATTTTGAAGGACGTCCCACCTTTTTCCCGGTGTTATATCTGTAGTTCCACCTATGTACAAATACCTGATTTCTATCATACATTATTAATAAATAAATACTACTTGTACTACTACTACTAAACTACTGCCAATAATAATACATTTAATAATAATAACAACTAATAATCAGTACTAAGTAATAATTATTAATAATATTATCATTATTATCATTATTTTTTTGCTTTTTGTATATGCACCATACTACTTTTCTTGTATTTTATTTATAATGTATGGGCTGTCTACAAAATAATTTCCATCAGGCTATGTCTATCTTTTTAAGCATTTTTAAATTAAATAAAAGAGTAGCCTAACAGGAAAATGCTGGTTGTAAGATATTTATACAAAGTATAGCCTGGCAATAAAAAATACTTTGTTTGAATATTTATAATTTGTGTTCTGACTTTCATAAAAGTATAAGCATCAAGTTACTCAAAATCTTTAACTCAACATGAACTGGGCTTTTTTTTATTAACTTCAGGAACTTTCATTGTGTGTAAACCTTGGCGACCCTGGGGACAAAGCAGTAACCCTTATCTCTTTACATAACAAATAAATATAATAATAATAATAATAATAATAATAATAATAACACATTGGTTTTATATAGCGCTTTTCTGAAAACTCAGAAACTCAAACATAAAACAATACAACAAAACAAAAAACGAGGAGGACAGAACAATGAAGAAGTAATGTGTGTGTGGGGGGGGGGACAGTGGCTGTAGGCAGTGATGAAGAGGTGAGTTTTTAGGGATTTCTTGAAGGAGGTGAGTGTGGAGGAGTCTCGGATGTTTTTGGGGAATGAGTTCCAGAGGGTGGGAGCAGCAATGGAGCATTGGTATTTTACCTGTTTGTTGTAAAGTGTATTGAGATTTGTTATGAATTGGCGCTATACAAACAAAGATTGATTGATTGATTGATTGATTGATTGATTGATTGATAGATAGATCTCTTAGCTGATTTAGGCCTGTAAATGCAAAAAATCCAGCTTTCCTTTAGCAAGCAAATGTAGCATTTACTGGAATGGAATAAAAAGACAATATTCTCAGTCTTATTCTTATTCTTATTCTTATTATACTTTACCTGTAACTGTTGGGAATATATTATAATGTGTGCGTGTGTGGATGTGTGTGTGTGTGTGTGTGTATGTTAAGTTTTAATACATCTCCAGCAGAGGGGGCACTTCATAATTTCTGCACATGAGTCACAACTATTACCTTCTAACGAAGAAGGAAACGAACCAACGAAGAAGTAAGAGGAATGAAAACAGGAATAACGGCCTGACGCAGTTCTTCGTGTGTTACATGTTTTAGGATACAAACACTTTACAGTAATGGTTAGCTGTTAAGGACTTTGGATGCGGTCCAAATCCTCAACGTCGGTGTACAAGGTGTGTTTTCTTCAGGTAGTCGTGACTGCTCCGCGCTGCTATCTTTACACATTTAGTTGTTTTTTTTTATCCCGTTAGAGGAAATGCCAAAGCTGCAGAGCTGCACGGATCTCTGAGCTCAACTCGGTGGACATGAACTCCCTTTTTACCACTGAAAAGTGTTGTGTATTTCAGCTGTCTCACTTTTATTTCGAGTAATGGCGAACGAGTTTGTTAAGACTTTTGTCCGGGTGTGTAGAAATCTCCAAGAGCCCTGTCACGTTGCGAGGTTTCAGCAGCTGTGCGGCGTTAAAGGGACGTTTCCGAATAACCCAACCGAGCCGGGCGGCGGACAGTCGGAGCAGGACCGTCCCGAGCTGAGGAAGAGGGTCCAAAGCTCGGAGGGAAGTGTGGGCAATGGAGCAGCTGGGGACGCGACCTCAGCGCAGGTTAACGGGGTGCAGGGTGACAACACGGCGAGGCCCGACGATGAGGCTGGTCTCGACTCGGACACCGCCAGAGCAAAACCCCTCCGGAAAAACTCCCTGACCGGAGACATGGGTCAGGAGTTCCTCATCCACAACAAGTTTCTGTTCTACCTGTTCACGTTTGGGACGGAGCTGGGCAACGAGATGTTCTTCATCGTCTTCTTCCCCTTCCTCTTCTGGAACATCGACGCCCTGGTCAGCCGGAGACTGATCGTGGTGTGGGCCTGGAACCTTTTCGTGGGACAGTCCACCAAGGACATGATCCGCTGGTCCCGGCCAGCCTCCCCTCCTGTGGTGAAGGTGGAGGTCTTCTACAACTCGGAGTACAGCATGCCGTCCACACACGCCATGACAGGGACAGCCATACCCTTCTGTCTCTTCATGCTGACATATGGACGGTGGCAGGTGAGAAACTATTTTAATGAATACATCTGACTCTGCTGTCTGCATATTGACATGGAGTCGATATTAGGCTGGCTAAATAACAGGACAGAAGGGTCAACTGCTTTAGGGGCCCACACTGCATGTTGTCAGGGGCCCAAAATAATAATAATAACTTTATTTATATAGCACCTTTTTAAAAACACAGGTTTACAAAGTGCTTTGACAAACAAGAACAAAGAAAACTAAAGCAAACACAGAAGAACATTAACAACAGCAAGAACATAACAAATGCAAAATACTAAAAATAATTAAATACAATTCAACAGAAAAGAACCCAAAGTGCACAGTACCCAACAGACATATATAACCCGACCATCACAAGAACCATGATAAGAACCCAACAACACGAGCTGAGACCAAGAGGAACCAAAGATTTAAAAATATGTAAGAAACTAAAAGAGCTGAAATAACATAAAAAGATAACAGCAAGAAGAAGTAAGAGCAGTAAAAGAAATAGAAACAAGTGGTTAAAGGATCAAAAAACCCAAAACTATAATATTAATAAAAGTAAATATAAACATGAAACATAAATAGACAAAGTAAGTAAGATAAGGAATTTCCAAGTTAAAACATAAGAGGAGATTAAGATATGAGCATAAATACGAGATAAGAGCATAAATAAAAGAACAGTAAGAAGTAAAAGAAGATAAAAATAGTAAAACCAGTAAGAGAAGACATTAAGAAGAGGCACAATGTTCATTATTGATTATTACTTAAAAATCTTTTAAGCTTGTACTAATAACTGACATTTCTACTCTTTATATTTTGTATTGTTAAGTTAAGTTTAAGCTTTAAGTTGTATTTAAATTGACACTTTATATTTAGATTAAAATGTTTCGTTTACTTGCACTGTTTTTAATTTACTGCTCTGTGTGCCTTTGAATTGCTCCCACAGGGACAAATAAAGTTTTTTTAATTTGAATTTTATCAACCAATACATCAATGACTTAATTAAAGTTTGTAAAAGTAACCTTCAGAGTGGTCAAACTAAAGCACTGACATTGAAAATAACTACAGGAGTTCTCTGAATAAATAGCTCAGTTTATGTGGTAAACCATGCCCTCACGCATCCTTGTTCTTCCTCTCTTATCAAATTTGTTGACGCACTGCCTGAGCAAAAAAAACGATAGGCAAAATTATACAAAGACTTCAGTGTGAGAAATCTTCTGTTTTTTTGTCTCATATAGGCGGCAGCGTCAAAGTGTTGCCTTGTTTAAAAACAGTTCATTTTGTTAATTCTTGTCAGTCTTGTCATGCTTACACAGATATGTTTCTTAAGTGACACAAACTTACAGGCCCTTTGCACACACGTCACCAGGGAACAATTCAAGCTGACCTAAGGTGTCCTCAAAGAACAAACAGGATGCACACACTGTGCGCAAAAGGTTGGAGGAATGGTGGTTTACACAGGGGCCCCCCTGCAGTGTTTGTCCCGCTCTGAGCCAGTACACTATGTGGAATTATGATATGTTATTACAGATTGCTTGTTCTAGCCTTGATCCACAGGATATGATCATGTTTTGATAACCAGTTTATGCATCTAAGGTGCCTGAGGAGGAATCCAAAGAATCAATGTATTTTGTTCAGATTTAAATCGCAATAATAAAGAAACGGACCACATAACCTGGCATAATAATAATAATAAAAGCCATCATGTTATTTTTCTCCCTATCCCCTCAGTACCCAGTTTAGTGGGTCAGTTGAAAAAGCACAGGCCGCCTTTAAATCTCTGTTAATCCTCGTTGCTGACTAAGGTATGAAGCTCTACATCCCAGCCAGAATCATAAGAAGAAAAGAAATGCATACAAGTTATTGTGTGTGCTCAATACATTACATGGAAAACATTCCTTTGTAAGGGCAGGGTGTGTCAGAGCAGTTCAGGTGTGGAGTGAAGAGGTAGATATGTTTTAAGATAAACAAAGACTTGCTGTTCAACATTGTCAGAGAGAGAGAGAGAGAGAGAGAGGAAGAAGAGGAAGTTTCAAAGCCGCAGTAAACTCTTCGATGCAAATGAAGAAAGTTAGACAGTCAGAGGGAGAGGAGGACACATTTCCAGTGTCTTTTCTGGTTAAGATCAAAGAACGCAGGTCTGGATTGTAACTGCTCTATCAGGGGTTCAGATAGTAAAGGGGGGGTCTAGTATCAGTCAGGTCCATAGACAGGTCAGGTCACAGCTCAAAGT